TGGACAGTCTCAATCAGACGAGCAGCCAGCACCAGATAACGATCGTCGCCAGCGGTGTCATTACCAGCTCGCTTATACTCGCCGTGCATTGTGAGAAAGTTGACAACCCCGAAGGCATCTGTCCATAGGTATCGCCCGCGGTGACCGCCTGATCTTGGTGGTGGAGTCCAGGTCTTTGGGTCTTCAATGTTGCTGAAACTCCCGTAAAGAGATTCCATGGCTTGTCCAAAGCGGTCTAGGCGCGGTGATGGACTGCTGATTGGGAGAGCCATTCTCGAGGTATGTACCTTGGAAACAGGATGAATGATTGCTTTTCTAGCAGTGTTCTGCTTGAACCATAGCAACCTACACGACCGCATTTGTTATAGATTTTCATTCTCGGGTGTTATTTATTCCACTATCGTCAGAACCGAAGCATTTGTGGTTTGCCTTCGATGGTGAAGTCATAGTGACTGTTTAGCTACCGGGATGTCAATAATTCGCTGGGAAAACTCCCACCAACCAAAGCGCATATGTTGTATTGATGAAAGCAGGGAATAGAAATGCCGTGTGTAATCTCCGGAATTTCTGCACTCGACATGTTTTATCTACTTGAGATATTCTGCGTGAAGATATCCGATATCCCAACCATAGCTTGACCGTCCATGCGCTTGGCGTCTATTTTTCGAACCACAAAAAAGATGCCTCAACTACAGGAGCTTTTCAATTCAGCAGTGCAGCCTCTGCCTGCAATCGAGGACAAGAGCTTCGCATCCCACTTCGATACTTTTGCGGGAAGCCAAGTGATTCTTCTAGGAGATGGCAGTCATGGAACATCTGAGTTCTATTCTGCGCGCGCCGAGATCACAAAGCGACTCATTGAGCGACACGGCTACACCATGGTCGCAGTTGAAGCGGACTGGCCGGATGCAGAGGCGATCGACCGATACGTACGCTTGCGCCCAGGCCCCAAGGCGCAAATCGGAGGAACTGCGAAAGGATACGAACCATTCAATCGATTTCCCACCTGGATGTGGAGGAATTCCGAGATGCAACAGTTAGCTGAATGGATGCGTGATCGAAACCAGTCCCTCCCACCCGAGCAAAGAGCCGGGTTCTACGGGCTGGACCTGTATAGCATGGGTGCCTCGATCGGTGCTGTGATCGATTATTTGGACCGAGTAGACCCACAGGCAAGCAAGCAAGCTCGCCAGCGGTATGGATGTCTAGAGCCTTGGGTCGATGATCCCACTTCGTATGGTCTGGCCTCCCTTCGAGGCATGGAAGACTGTGAACGCCCGGTGATGAAGATGCTTGGAGAACTTTTGGAGCGACGGCTTGAATACATCAGCTCGCGGGATGGCGATGAATACCACAGCGGCGAACAGAATGCTCACTTGGTTCGTGACGCGGAGAAGTATTACAAATCAATGTACTACAGTTCAGCAAGCTCATGGAACCTGCGCGACACGCACATGTTTGAAACTTTGGAACGTCTGTTACAGCACAATCAAGGAGAGAAAGCCATTGTGTGGGCACATAATTCCCACGTCGGAGATGCACGCTATACAAGCATGGGCTTCCGTCGCCAGGAGCTCAACATCGGACAACTATGTCGTGAGCGACTGGGACGTGAGAATGTGACCATTCTTGGATGCGGAACGCACACCGGCACCGTTGCAGCGGCCCATGAGTGGGACGATGATATGGAGGTCATGTCCGTCCGTCCATCCCGGGAAGACAGTTGGGAGATTGTGGCCCATGATACTGGGGTACCACGTTTCGTGCTCGACCTGCGTCAGGATCGCATAGATCCCTCTCTGCGCTCCGCGATCGCTGCTGAGCAACGCCTGCAGCGTTTCATTGGTGTCATCTACCGCCCTGATACCGAGCGCGTCTCCCATTACTCGCAAACCCTCCTTCACAAACAGTTTGATGGTTATGTCTGGTTTGATAGGACCCAGGCCGTTAAACCTTTGGAAGTCATCCAGCCCGACACGCCGCTTGGAAAGGGCGAAACGTATCCATTTGGTCTCTAGTGATGTACTTCTTTGGTTGGTCAACGGCTAATGCTTTTTTCTTCGGTATCTTCGTCTTCTAATGCTGTGCTTATTCAGTGTACCTACTTACTATACACAAGTTGAGAATTCCAGTTGACTCTTCTTAACCATCATCGAATCCGTTCTCCCTACATACAAGCTTAGCGTTTCCGGTGGAACTTTGAATTTTCCATGCGGTTTCTTGCTTTTGAAATATGAACCATCTGTCTTACGGAGCCAACAAGACCGGTTCCTAATATTTAAAGGGTCCAATGTGTAGGGAAGAGCTTCTTCGTGAGGCGGAGAGGGTCTTACAGGCAACGGCACATGTTGCACGAAATGTAGAGATGTAATAAAACCAAGTTCAATTCCAGGGAAAGGGACTTGCAAGCAGGGTATAAGCCAAGTTCGATTCGAAATTAAAGATAGGTTTCGGTTTCCTCAAGCAAAGTAGCAAGAGAAAATGGACTAAAATACAGCTGATGGAATAATAGGAGGAATGGCCATCTGTGGACCAGCTAGCAAAGAGGAAGGTGGCTTGACCAGCGATATGGGCAGACATCGTAAACCACGGAAGTTTAGGGGGAAGCCATACGAACGTTATAAATTTTCACAATAGGGGGTAATTTTGGCAAGATAAAACATACCAACAGATAAATAAAGAAGGACCCGAAAAGCGGCTATAGTCAAAGTGATGAAGGAAGTGGTTGTCCTAGGCCGTGGTTATAGAAGAACGCGCTGCGGCTTCGAAAACGATAAAGTATATCTTCCCTCGAATTTGTTCTGCTAACCGATTGATCGTATCGCCTTGAATAAATACCTACTGAGAGGCCTTTTTCCCAGATAGCAACCGTATGACGTGGTCCTCACTAATACGACTTTGGACGTTTTCTTTACGGATGCGGACTATCTGTGTGCTGATAGTAGCATATATAGGGCCCCTGATAATATCAGCTTGCCTAGGTTACTAGAGATAGTCGAATTTCGGGTGAGGCATTTCCTCTCTCCTGTATGTCTAGATATACTCTTTCCTTGATGTGTCATGGTGATCGTTGCTATTATAGATTGCTGCTGGGATAGGCCTTGTTTAGGTTGGCTAGGCTTATGTCTAGGCCGCTTGTGTTTTTTTAGATAAGCCATACGCTGGTTTGCATGACTTCGAAGTAGTTGCTACTAACTAAGAAGAGCGGTATAATTGGTTTCAACAGTATCTTTGGCCTAGTAAGCGAGAGTCTAGGTACCGAAGATGTGTGAGAATCTTGGGTCCGTGATTGCTTCTTAAATCTAACGAGTAAGACTAATATGAGCGAGTGCTTCTTAGTGGCCCATGTTATCGTATTGTCGCAGGTTAGGAGAGGCGAGATGCCCGGAGATATACGCCATTAGGTCGTCGGGATTTTGGGTTAGACTTAAGCGGTTGCAATATCGGTTATAGACCAGTCTAGCAACATCTGGTATAAACCCAATATACTTAAGCACCTCGACACTTTCCTCTGCTATTATGATATAGAATAGATGGATAATATCGGGCTGGAAACCACGGGTAGTAACGGACGCAGAAGACGACGACGAGGTCTACGGGCGACTAAACCTTCTAGAAGCATTTACTATTTCTATATTATATACTTTATAGATTCAATTCAATTTAGATTTAGTTTAGATTCAGTTTAGATTCAGTTTAGATTCAGTTTAGATTCAGTTTAGATTCAGTTTAGATTCAGTTTAGATTCAGTTTAGATTCAGTTTAGATTCAGTTCAGATTCAGTTCAGATTCAGTTCAGATTCAGTTAGTAAAATAGTAAGATAGTAAGAAATCAAGAGTCAAGACTTAAGACTTAGGAGTATAAAGAGCCCGGTGTTAAAAAATTAATATCGTAATAAATACTATTTGTTAAACAATCTCCTATACATATATATATGTTTACTACAGACTAAGCCCTATTTGTTAGCTTGTTTACTATAAGTGTTTTACTACTATAATCGAGTAGAGTTTAGATGGTTTTAGCAGGGTATATAACCCCCTACATTTCTAGTTTAATCAATTAATAATTCTTCCTCTGCTTTCTCCCCGCATAGTAACAGGTTGCTCAACAGTATTCATTTATAAAAATACTATATAAAGTAACTATAGATTCAACAATGGTACTTGTGAAGTGAGAGTGGATCGAAATTATTGCCTGGAATAGTATATCAGAAAGTTAGCTTACTCTCTGTTAAAACCTTGGGAAAGATCGACCCGGACTCGGGTATGGGCGACTAAGTATGCCATCATTTACTATTTCTATACTATACACTATAGATTCAATTCAGATTCAGTTTAGATTCAGTTCGGAAGGCATAACGGAGAGCCGTGGAATGCCTGACCTTTGAGAGTTGATGCCTTAACTGAGTCAGATTTTAGGGCAGACCCGGGGGAATTAAAAGACATTGAAAAAGACACAATTATGTGGTCATTATGAACTCCTTAAAAAGGTAAAAAAAGATGAAGCTATTTCCACTATACAAATCTCCACATTCATCCAATTCTAGGCGTTTAAGCCAGTTCCCGCCGTATAAATCCCTATAATTTCCATATCCTCCCAATCAGCGTGGAAAAGTAGTGTAATGATCAATCTATAAATGACCCTGGCCTCTCTGCACCTACCTCGTCGATGGATATACGGGGGTGGTTTGTACTAAGCCTAAATAGGAATTACCTTATTTTGAGTCGGACCTTCTATACACTTCAATCCATCATATTCTAACGTTGTTTTACATATATCTTCTACTCTGTGCTCTTTGCTTGTTTATTCCCAACCAATCTCGAAGCCTCTCTCGAAATTCCTCATAGTGCAGTAGAATCTGGTCCCTCAATTTCACATCCCATCCACAATCGTTGGATCGCTTTGAAGAAACCCAACCTTTCACATCGACTTTTGGGCACAGTCTTCCAGAACCTTCTCTTGCGGAACAATACCCGACCAAATACTTCCGCTTGTCACCATGCAGGTCATTCGGTCTATTCGCGATGCTATCTCTTACTGCATCGGCAAAAAACAACAATTCTCCTTGGATGGTCTCCCTGTGGAGATTTTGTCATCAATATCAGATCTGCTGTCCCGCGAAGATATCTACTGTCTTTCGTTAACCAATTCACGACTTTTCTCAACACTCAAATGTCGAAGGGAGCGGCTCCGAACGCCCAGAGGAAGGGGCAAGCTACCCCTCCTTCATAGAATTGGGCGTGATTTACCTAACCACCTCGTTTGCTATTGTTGTCTTGTCCTGCACAAATATGATAGGTCTGAACAATCCTCCGTGACTCTCCAACCGCCATTTAGATGGTTTTACTACCTCCCTTGTGTGGAGGATGGGAAACAAGTTTCATCTCGGCTCGCTTTGCAGCTACTTCAGTTTGAATTCTATGGCCGCTACCGTTTCTACTTTGTGCATCTTCAACTCGCTATGCAAAGGTTCTACCACGGTCCAAGATTTGGTATCACTACCGAGTCGTTATCGTATACCGAGGTGAAAGAATACGATGAGTCACGTACGTTGTTCTCAACTGAAGCACAAATATGTCCGGGTAAAGGAAGGCTTCCGATGGCATCCACACACTCAGAGCCATCGGCATTTCCAAAGACACCAATACACTCAGGGGAAACACCGTATTCTAGAAGAACGACAGAGCTGCGACAGCCAGGATACCCGGGAGGGCCGACTCAGTTCGAAGTTCATAACTTATGCCTACGAATGCAAGGTATTAAGTTAGTTGCTCGCAAGCAGCTTCATCTATTTTGCTCTGATACATTACGTGGCTCCTCTCAGATCTTCTACGTCTGCGGACATATCTCGCACTCAACATTATTGACATCGATAGTCAAGTCCTATATTGCCGGAAAGGAACCAACAGACTGTCATATTGCCGCGACTTGCAAAAACTGCAACACGGATTACGAGCTTCAACTTGTTGAATGCGGTCAAGGTGATCTCGCTATAGTTATCACGAGGTGGATCAACTTGGGCCCAGGTCTTAGCCCAGATGATCCACAATGGAAAGTCCACGTATTCCGGCCTCGAGAGCGGAAACGACTCTCGTTGGATACAAGAATCTCATATACAAGTGCTCGGCACTCGTTTGAAACCACCGTCGCAAAGAAATGGTCGGCCGAAGCTCTTTCTTCTTACAATCTTTCATTTCTACGAGCTCGGAAATACAAAGCTGTGATGGAGAATACCACATTTCCTGGAGATCCATGGACCCTATACTATCCTCGGGGACCCATGGAGAGTCTGGCATACCCAATAAGCCAGACAGGGCCGCTGGTGCCGCCGCCGCGCCATAAGGGCAAACTGGAATAAACTCTGGTTTGTGTTCACATCTCCTTATCCCTCTTTCTAGCTCGGACCGACAGAATAGCCCATATTTGTATCCATTAGCCCACATTCAAATCGAGAGCTTTCTCCTTCTTTCCTTGCCCTCCTTTACTTGCAACTCAATCCCATGTGAGTGGCTGTCCGAGTCAATCAAACATATAACCCGAACCTCTAGAGAATAATGGGGCTCACAGCCTAAAGTTTACATAGAACGGGTTGATTTCAAACTAGGATAACCCACTGCCAAGTCTGTTGCGGAGGTGTGAATCTATAATGAGCTACTCGTAGAAGTGATTATTGCAAGTCCACTGCTGGACATCTGGTTCTCCATTCCGATAATTATACTGCAATTTACGCTGCCCTCCCCACCGCCGATCTCATCCATTGACCACTCCTTGCCAGGCTGTCGGCGCTGGCGCAAAATCCCCTCCCCAACCTCCACCTTGACTTTATGCTCAAGGGTCTCTTTCAGGGTGGTGACCCTCTTATGGAGGGCCCTTTTGTCCTCCTTCAGTCCGGAATGCGAGGTCTCCAGCCTCTTAATCCGAGAACGATCGCTCTGAATATCGTTCTCTACGTTTTTCAAGTCCAAGGACCTCGTTTCCTTCAACGTACGGAAGTCATCCTCGAGCCTTTTGATCCTCCCCTCGAGAGGCTCCTTGTCTGGTACGTTCCAGAACCAGTTGAGCCCTCCACCGAGACAGATGTCCCGTCCAAGGTCGATACCCTGGTGTGGGGGGTTGTCTGGGGGAGTCAAGGTATTCGACCTCACTGGAGAGGAGACAGGTGCCTCATCCCTCATTCAGACCAGTGGACTGTCGGGGAGGACAGGGTATTTGGCCTCATCAGAGACAGGTGTCTCCTCTGGTCTCGAGCGCCCTCACTCAGGATATGGCATGTTCGTCGGGCACTAATAGGTCGCAGTCAATTTCACTTACCAGCAGAAGGAAAAGGGTCAAGAAAAGCTTGAAGTTAAACTTCAGCATGGTTTGCAACGGTTTGAAGTTGGGAAGAGAAATAGGAACCACAATGTGAGTGGATGGAAGGTGGAATAAGAACAGTAAAGAAAAATGAGAGAGCTGTAGCGAAGAGTGAGGAACGTAAAGAGAAAGAAAGCTGCCATGAGGAGGACGAGACATGGGTGGAGCTGACAGTCGGTCTTAGTTTCATCTCATGTTGCCTTCACATTACTTTCACAATTCCTTCACATTACTGTCACAATTCCTTCACATATAACATGCCTCACTTCTAATCACGGATCTGATCTTGGCTGTACTCGTCATGAATAGACCCAAGAACGTCCAATATTCATACACAGTCCATATTACATCAAGGTTCCTTAGGCCCTCTTATGCTCTCTTAAATTCTCGTCTCAGTGTACCGGTCTAACCGATTAAGATAGTTATATAGGATACAGGTACTAGACTGGTTTATATCAACTTCTCCTCCTCGCTAGGACAGCGGAGCCGGGGTACTTGTTCAAAGGCACTGGATGATATATCAGCCTCCTTGAACCCAAAATAACAGTAGCCATCTACTCTCGCTCCTAAGCACCTAAGCATGAGCCATATATAAACCAGACGGGATATACTGTTATTACTGTATAATGCCGCCTAGAAACTACGGCCGAATTCAGGATGATACCTTTATCTACTCTGTTAGAAATAAGAGAGTTGTGAAGCTATATACATATGTCGATATCAGTTCTTCGAAACGTTCAGTGCTTCAAAATGTTCGAAAATAATAACGGGGCTCCACGAATAGGTAGGCTTTCAGTTTTACTACCTAGAATTTATTGTCAGGAGTCTATAAGAAGTGGCTCATTAGCTAGTGACCCTAAGGGTATAGATATAGTAATAATATAGCTGCCTACTATAGGTTATATACTAGCACTACCGCAAGATTCCCTGTCTCCAACCTGTGTTTGGCATGGATGTGGCATTCTCTGAACATTTGAATTACAGCACAAGCAGGTTTATATAAGAACTACCGGGGCCAGTCAAGTGGGGTTACCAGTGTTATTAGTTCCCCATTTTAACGTCGGAGATTCAATTTGTATTTCATTGACCAAATTCGCCAGGTGGATCAGTCTCCACCATTTCAGAATATATTGGGGAAGTTGGAACGCTCCCAGATCACAATTCAGCCCTAAGCCCTAACTTCCCAAAATGGATGAGGCTGCAACGCGGCAGCGAAGACGGTTACGTGACAGGGTATTAGGGAGCTAAACCTAAAAAGGCAAAACTAACCCTATACAGTAATTCACAGGTCCGCCGTTTACAACGTAGATAGGTAGGTCTGTGATAGTTCTATGCATGTGGTGGTCAAAGTTGTCCTACCAAGTGAAGACCTAGGCGACTGCCCAACAACATTGTCTGAAGTGCCCCATAACTATCAATGATTATGGCGCAGTGGCTGACCCTCTTGGGCTAGTCGCTGGTATTTGACTGCCTTTCGTAGCACCATGCCATTGCTTAGCTGGTCAGTTTCCTGGCGGAAGATCTCCTGCCAGGGAGTACCACTCGGGACAGCGGAATATCCTTCGGTACCCAATGCTTTCCTTCTTTGTTTGATCTCATCATCGGTAATGAGCATATCAACCCGCCGTTTGCGCAAGTCAATGCGAAGTCTATCCCCGTCTTTCAAAATAGCAAGATTGCCTCCAGCTGCGGCCTCGGGGCTAGCATTCAAAATAGAAGGTGATGCAGATGTTCCTGATTGTCTGCCATCGCCGATGCAGAATAGTCCATCAATACCCTCTTTCAAGAGTCGGCCTGGTGGATGCATGTTGACGACCTCTGCTGCTCCAGGATACCCGATTGGGCCAACGCCGCGCATAACAAGGATGGTCTTCTCATCGATGTATGGAGTGTTCTCCAGACGATGTTCGTAGTCTTCAGGGCCGTCAAATACCACAACAGATCCTTCAAATGCCTCTGGATCATCGGGGTTGGAGAGATATCGCTTCCGGAATGCGGGTGAAATAACACAAGTCTTCATGATTGCAGAGTCGAAGAGATTACCCTTCAGATGGGCGAATCCGGCATCTTTCATCAATGGATCGTCGTATGGCTTGATGACACGCCGATCCCATGTATGCTTCCCAGAGACATTCTCGGCAATAGTTTTGCCATTGCAAGTGAGCACATCGCCATTCAGCTTGCCCTGGTCTAATAGCTCAGCCATAATAGCCGGCAGTCCTCCAGCACGGTAATATTCTTCGCCGAGATATTCCCCCGAAGGCTGCATATTTAGCAGTAATGGGATGGTAGATCCGAGGGTATCCCAATCATCCATGGACACCTCTACGCCTGCGTGCTGCGCGATAGCGTTGATATGGATAGGAGCATTCGTGCTTCCGCCGATTGCGGCGTTGGATACAATAGCGTTCTCGAAGGCCTCACGCGTCATGAGATCGCACGGCTTCAGGTCTTCCTCTACCATTTCCACGATCCGTTTTCCTGTTTCATAGGCACATTGGGCTCTGTGGCGGTAGGCAGCCGGGATGGCGGCTGACCCGGGGAGCGCCATTCCTAAGGACTCTGCGAGGGCATTCATCGTAGAGGCAGTTCCCATTGTATTGCAGTGGCCGACTGATGGAGTTCTAGGGTTTGGATTAGGTTCTGGGGTCATTTACAGGGGCTTCAGAAATCTCTTACCCTCGGGCGATGTAGTCCATAAACTCATGTTCGTCAATGTCACCCGTGGCGAAAAGTTCTCGCCCATGCCACAATACAGTGCCTGCTCCAGTCAAAGTTTCCTTGGAGTAACCGTTGAGCATAGGCCCCACGTTCATACAGATAGCAGGGATATTCTAAAAGAAAATCAGCATAGATCTAGAAGTCTCCCAGATCTGGTACCCACCATAGTAGCGGCAGCCATCAAACAAGCCGGGGTTGTCTTATCACACCCGGTAAGCAATACAACACCATCAAGGAAATATCCCGTCAAGATCTCCACCAAGCCAAGATACGCCAGATTACGGTCAAGTGTCGCAGTAGGCCGTCTTGAGGTCTCTTGAATAGGATGTGTGGGGAACTCAAATGGAATACCTCCAGCAGTCCGGATACCCTCACGAACACGTTTGGAGAGCTCAATGTGATGGCGATTGCACGGCGCGATATCCGAGCCCGTCTGAGCAATTCCAATCATCGGCTTACCAGACATGAGCTCTTCTTTGGTGATACCGTAGTTGAAATACCGCTCCATGTAGATAGCTGTCATACCGGGATTGCTGCGGCAGTCGAACCATGAGGACGAACGAAGTGTTCGTCCCGGTTGTTTGACGGGGACTTTGGCATTATCTGCATCGCTTGTGACTTTCATGCGCGTTTCTAGCTCCTGATTTCGTCGACGCAGGGCCTGCAGCTCACTTATACAGTCCTCGATGTTGATAGATTGGGGTTGGGTGTCATTGCTGCATGAACAGCCCTCACAGGAGGACTTCTTATCGGAACACGCCATGGTGTTATATATGTTATAGATGCACGATATATTGGGGTAGTGCGGGATAAACGTTCCATGGATTTGAGGGGTGATGATGGATTATATATGGAGGGCTTCCCATTTGTGCCCTGAAAAATGCGGAGTGCATTCGGGAGACACTTCCCGAGTCATTTGGTGTCGAATCACGTTGAAATGCCCCGCGTGATCAACGGAGATAAGCCGAGATTTTGCCCCTCGGGATGTGACGATCCGGATATTATCTCTTGAAGATAATGACGTCGGGTCCGGTATAGGTGAACTTCATCTATTTTGATCCAATTTCCAAACAACTCACCTATACCAAATCAACAATGCAAGGTCTAAACCGCGTAAAGGCAGTACTCGACAAGGGCGACCTCGCTTTGGGAGTGTGGCAGCTATTGCCCGGCAGCAACATGTCCCGCACTCTAGCACGAGCTGGATACGATTGGGTTTTGGTGGACTGTGAACATGGAAATATCGATGGTCGGCGTTTTTGCCCTTGTTCAGAATTCCATACTAACATTCCTCGCAGACGCCGCAATGCACGAAGCTGTCCCCGCTATAACGTCATATGGGGTGAGCCCAATTGTTCGTGTGCCCGATTTCCAATCTTGGATGATTAAACGTATGTCAAGCAGACTGGATATCACTAGCCCACTTAACAATTTCTCAAATTTTTCATAGGTGCCCTAGACGCAGGCGCACATGGAGTCCTCGCTCCTCTCGTGCGAACAGTGGAAGACACAAAGGCCTTCGTTGAGGCTTGCCGATTCCCACCACAAGGGAAGCGAGGTTTCGGATCGCCTTTCCCCATGGACAGGTTTGGCAGGGATGTATCAGCCACTCAGTACTTGACTGAGGCCAATGCCAATCTTCTGCTCTCAGTTCAGATTGAGACGAGAGAGGCTTTTGAGAATGTCAATTCCATCGCCGCCGTCGAAGGACTCGATTTGTTATTTGTCGGACCTTTTGACCTGGGCAATGGTATCGGCCACCCAGTTTTGGGTAGTACTTTTGCCCCTGAATTAGAACAAGCCATTGAGAAGGTTCTGGATTCAGCGCACAAGGCAGGCAAGAAGGCTGGAATCTACTGTGGAAATGGAAAGCAGGCAAAGAAATATGCCGATTTGGGGTACGACTTGGTCAATGTTGTGACTGATGTTGGTGCCCTGACTAGCTCTCTCGCGAGTGAAATGGAGATTGTCACCCAGAAATCAGGCAGGGCTGCCTCTGGGCCCTACGGTAGTTAGCATCCTATATGCCATTGAAGTAAATCTCGTTGCAGATGCAGATTTTTGTTTGTCTCGCTATTGTTCATCGTGTAAAACATAAGGGGCCATGGATGCACATCGTGAGGGTATGGTCATTCAAACCAAAGAATTCCAGAACGAATGTGACTCTACATCAACCTGAAAGCCTTGAGCAATTGCCTCAAGGTCCAGATCCGATAGTTCCAAAGTCATCAGGGAAGATCCAAATTCAAATCCGCGATCCGCGACGCCAGGTTCCCGGCTGACGTTCATAGACTCATCCACGAGCATGTGTTCGCTGGGGAAGTTGTTCCCAGAGCTCCCGGGGCTTCCAGTGTGTACATTGTCATCTGTAGCACTGATCCCTAGGTGAGAAATCAATTTCTCCAAATTTTCCCTAGCCTTCTCTGCTGCAGAATAGAGGCCTGTGTGTTCAGCAAGAATATTTCGACAAAGAATTAGTGATTGGAACACAGTTGAGTTACTTCCTTTCTGTGCAACAATCCGTGCGTGGATCGTTGCACTGATATAGGTAGCGTAAGAAAGCATGTACGGTGCACTGTTCAAAGAGAAGTGCTGCGAGTAGTCATGTAGAATCTGAACAATTTGGTTCGCAGCAGCTGTACATGCGTTCACTGACTCATGGGCAGTTGTTGAATTGATGACCCCGTCGTGACCAATTATTAGAGGTCGGTGAACCAAGATGATAAGCACGTTGAACAGGGCTCTTGTTGATGGTTAGCAGCTATCAAATAGCCTTGGTTGATGCAAGGTACATACAAAAGGCAGGCAGACTGAGGCAGGAGAACCGCCTGGCCTGGGAATGACAAATAGTCAAGCTGAACTGGCAAATTTTGGCGCCAGCTTCTCAACTGTGACTTGATTTCCTCCGAGATATTTGCCAGATTTGACTCTCGAGATTCCGAATAAATCTCACGAAGAACACGTTCCACAATTGTTGTCAATTCGCATAAATTGGTGAGCAAAGAAACATTTAATGACGGGATCCCTCCTCGAGGCTTAGTAGTCATATATGTGATACCATGAAAAGGTTCAAGCTCGTCATAGTCATCCAGAAAGTCCAGTGACGCTCTCAAGTTGACACGATTGAGAAGCGGAGGCCTTCCTTGGAAAAGACACTGGATCTTATCAATCACTATCAAAGAAGTCAGAGGTTATCCGGGGGACAATACCCATTACACGGGGTGATAGCTCACAGTATGCTCCCCAGAGCACTCGCTTTCGAATTTCAAGTTCCTCGGCGGAGATGCTATCCACAGCAGGAAGGACATGCAGACCAAGATCAATGAACATATTGAATGCATTTCCGGCGTATAGCCATGACAGACTCCGTTCATCGCATCTGGAAAAAAGCGCATTGGACATGATCAACAATGCCTGAAGGGTGGTGATTTCGCTTTTATCGAAGCAATCTCGCAAAAGCTGCGTGAAGCGTTGCCGGAACTTCCATCCTGCAGTCGTAATGTCATTTGGGTCGGAACGAAGCTCTGGTCGGTCACAGTGCTTTGACACTACAAAAAATATCGCATTCAACAGCAATTTGGAAAAGTATGGTCCCTCGCAGGCCATATCTCGCATGAAAGCCGGCCGATAAATTATCTGTGCTGTGTAAAGCTGGCGACTCCAGTATATAGAGAGTAGATGCATGCCGATCTCAGGATCGATGCCGTCAAAGTCGAGTTTTCCGGCGGCAAGATTGAGTGGCTCTAGCTGTCCTATTATTTCCCAATTAGTACCGTAAGCCATATTTGGTGCTACATGAGATCCGACTTGCTCTGCCTCGCTGTCTGTGAAAAGAGAAAATGCCGCGTTCCCTCTTCGTTCCATTGACCTGCTCTACTATGCTCATTGTGGTCCGTACTTGTATCATCATACACTGTACTTGTTGGGCCATGGTACAATGACGTGTTTCGGCGGTCGTTCTCCGGTACTTCTGGGTGTGATACACCTCTAGTTGAAGTGGAGGAAGAGTCATTCCGCGAGAGACCAATACCCGTTACTCTCGAGAATGGCAATGGAGTACGTGGAGTGCTTTCCGATACAATAGAATGTTCCGGTTCAGATTGAACCCTTCCAGCAGAAGTGGTGTTGTTGTTTCGGAGCTGGGCACATTTCTGTCGAAGGATCTCATTTTCCTGCTCTAATTCCGTAATGCGGTGGTTGGTCGGCCCAAAAGCAAAGCGTCAGCAACTTGAAATTTGATTGTAGTGCTCTCATTTGTACCTTGGCTTATTCTGGACCACGCCTAGCCGACAATCGATCCTCTTGGCTAGACAGTTCCCACACTGGGGCCTCTGGGCATCACATTTCAACTACTTATTTAATCCGATGAGCTCCGAGTCCACATAGAACCCCAAAATACGCACCTTTTTCTCGCGACAATGCACACATGCTGCCGCTGATCTGCTTCTTCGAGTTGGCATTGTGCTCCATGAGGTCCGGAAACTCTTGTTCCGAGGTTTGTCTGCGGGCATGTCCTTCGATGACGTCAGCCACAGCATTAGTTTATGGCCTTGTTTATCAGGCAGTAACAAACATCGATGCTACCGCGCTCGAGTGGTGGAATTAATTATAGAGCATATATGAAAATTGAATAGATAGCATACGTAAGTCACGCTTTTCAAAGTTAGCGCTTAAATTATTAACGATCAAAAAGCCGCTATAAAGACTTCTTAGCCATGCTAACTGAAAGAGGAGGAAAAAAAGATTTGCAAGCGCCGCGCTCAATGCGAATCATAAGAACTCCAATAAATGCACCAGATCCATGAATAAACGAACGTCTGACGGCAAGGTCCGAACATCAAGATCGGCGTTGACCTCAGGCCACGGCGCCGAACCCCTGCCGAACCCCTGCCAACGAAAGGCAATTCTGTTGCCAATCAGGAATATCAGACCTTCACCCTCTAACCCCACCAAAGGACCTTCAATTCCCACCCCTAGAGGTAGCCGCATCCCCAGTAACACCGTCAGGCCCATTAACCGCCCCACCAGTCGCAGCAACCACGCGATCAACCTCGCCGCGACACTCGGGCATAGCGCTGCGCATCTCGCGGGCTAGCACGTCACGGAAACTCGCAAAGGCCTCACGCTTCCCGCGCAGGTCCTGATTCCCGCGCTGCACAAGCTCGACGAACTCTCGCGTGTAGATGTCCGGGTTGCGCGCCGAGTCGACATAGTCAATTATCTCTGGTGGAAGCTGGATGCTGGCGAGGGAGGGATTGGAGGGATCGGTGTTTGTGTCCGGTTGGTTTTCTTGTGTTGGTGGAAGTTGGGTATGTGTTGACAGAGTCGAGAGGGCAAGGGTTAAGTTTTTGCTAGAGTGAATTAGTTTTGAGTAATGTATAGATAGGGTTGGGGTTCAGTTGCGTTGCTTGTCGGTGAGTCTTTTGCTCTGACGGGGCGCATTTATGGGCATAGGGGAATGGAGGGATCATAGGCTTCCATTGCAGCTGACGTACATCTTTCGCACAAGCTCCTGCTGTGTCTCTGGGCCTAGATAACCGTGGACGGCAGACTGGATCTCGAATAAGTGCTGGATCACATCTTTGAGGTCGTCTGCGTTACGAATTAGCATGTGTACTCTCAGAGCTTGCTGCTCGTAACTCACCATCGACCGTTTTCAAAGTCACTGGTGCCATGATCATATATTGAAAGAGGTGTCAGTCAGTCTACCAGTTAAAATTGAGGTTTCTCTTGCTCTTGCGGGGAGAAACAAAGGCGGTGTGGGGTACAAGTTGAAGTATACAACCTTTCTTAATTGAGATCAAGCACGTTCTTAGCTACGATTACAGAAAATAACGTTGGGTGGTTTTGGAGTTATTATTTTCAAGAAGAACTTATGTAATGTCCAATATTTCACTGTTTATATATGCATAGCTCGTGGGAACCAATGTCATTCCCCGAGTTGCGCCCGCGCGGCGAACATAGCGCTGAAACCGCATCTATGAAACAAACAAGACTTGTACCCATACTCTACACTTCCCGCGTCCTCAAGCTAGAAATTTTTGGGACCTTAATCTCTGTCTCCATTTCAAGTCCGGACAAGCTTGGGAAACGCTGGCTGAATTTGACCTCCCAGTCCTCTCCAGGGCTTGCCGGAGTCTCTTCGGAGGGACCATGGCCATGACCAGTACCTGGTCGCGAGGTGGATGGGCCAACGCGCAAATTCTTGGGCTTGGGTGGTGCAGCTGGTCGATTTGTGGGACGTTGCGTGGATGGGTAACTGGTAGGGGCGATAGATTGCGGGACAGCCGCAGAGATCTTGGGGCCGTCTAGGCGATCCGGGACTGTCATTGAACCCTCACGAGTGTAGGTCGGGCCAGATGTGTTGGACGCGGACAGCTGGTTGGAGGTGGTGGGCCTGGCCTCACTCTGCTTTGCCTGCAAAGAAGAGGAAGTCTCTGTGAACCGTCCATACCCAGTGGCAGTCTTTGGAACGGTCGGTTTTTCAGACTCTCCAAACAACGATTGTACCTTATTCTGAATGGTGCGCGAGCGTGCACCCTCGCTTATCACTCTTCCACCCCCGTCGCCCGTTTCGGCAACCCGGCGCCGATACTCAGCTGCGGCATTGGCAACTCGTTTCTCCTCTTGGGAGAGTCGGCGGCGTTCCAGCTCCCGACGCATTTCCGGTGATATGTCGTCCCGGTCGACGTCTTCCAAGGCAATATCGTCATTTGGCGAAAGACTTCCGTCGGCTGAATCCGGTGCCCCAGGCAGACCCTGTCGGGGCACATCCTCTGCCGATGGCGACGATGATTTTTCTTGATTGCCTGCCTCGAATCGGCGGAATGCATCGCCGAATCGACCGGCAAATATGTTCTTACCTCCTGAAAGCGATAAAGTAGACAGACTACCGCGCTTGTTGTGTTTGTGGGAACCACTAGAGCGTTTTTCGCGCTTCCGATTGCTCTCTTCTTCTTCCATCGCGCGTAGGTAATCGACATCAGAGGAGATAGTCCGATCAGACTGACGATCCACTTCGGTACGCACTGAGCGTAGTGGTGCGCCGCCCTCGTATTGTAGGCGGGGCATATCCAGCGAAGACCGCGGACTCTCAGAGTCACGCGGCAGGTCATATCTCGCTCCCGCCTGGACTGATAGTGGTCGAGCCTTTCCAAGAGCGGATTTAGAGCGTCCCACGGGTTCACCTACCTCTAATGCTGAAGGCCGTCTCAGGGCTTCCATCGAGGGGCGCGCAGAATTAGACTGGCTGGAAATACGGTCAGATGGCAGCCGTGAGCTTCGTTCCACATTCAAACTCGACATCGGGGGGATGGCGCTTTTTGCGGCCGTATCACTCTTTGTTCCTCCTCGGTTGTAAGTGGCTCGCTGGAAGATCTGTGTTCATTATCGGACGAAGGGAATCGATAGATTGGCCGAATAGGCAGCTTTGGCTCCGGCAAACGAGGTGTTTGGATGGGTGAGGTCATGGTACCCGTCGACACCATTGCGGGCCGCTGAGGAGTTGGCTGGTGCAAGGGAACAGCCTGCGGGGCGGGAATTTCACGCATATTAGGTGCTCGGACAGGAGAAGTTTGAGATGTTCGCTTATAGACTGGCTTCGGCGCACGTTCGGGCGAGACACGTCTGGCAAAAGCATCATCGGCTAGGGCGTTGGTGAGTCTTCGAGATAGATCCTCGTCCTCTGGCTTAGATTCAACTGTTGGCTCGAATTCAAACTTGTCCCCTTTTTTCATGCAAAATGTCAAACTGGTCCAGGGAGGGGAACCGTTTTGACATTTCCTCTGCCGTCTTCTTTCGGGCTGCGCTCCCATCCAGGGCTGCAAACGGATCGGCTTCGGCAGCGGCTCGATATGGCGAAGGACTCGGTCCCTCGGAGCTAGGCTGGGACGGGGATTTCCCAGGTCGACCACGCCGCATAGGCGCAATCTCTGGGATTATCTCAGTCTCCTGCATCGGAGGCGAAAATACTGCGCCTACCGCAGGAGCCTCCGTGGGTGTAGGCGGTAGCTCTTGATACTTGCGCGCTTCCGAAACAGAGCGGTTGGAATAGATCTAAGCGACAGTGAGTGTCAAGTTTTCACTAAAAGAAGCATGGGCAACATACGTCTTTGATAGGAACTTCCTTTCCTTGCATTTTACACACCTCGCGCACGACCTCGTATATGTTGGGACGGTTGCGGGGATCTTCCTTCAACATTGAGCCTGTTCGGAGTTGTCAGCCATCGGTGATCGATTATAGGCCAAAGAAAGCTTCCAAACTTACCAATGAACAGCTTCAGCCGGCTCGAAAATGAAGGGTAGGAAGGGTATTTGAAGGTCGCGTTGAGAATAGCCATCTGACCGACCTCTTCGAAGGGGGTTGTATAGTAACATAATTTGTACAAAAACACACCAAGTGCCCAGATATCACTCTTTTCGTCAATCGGTTGCTTCCGATAGACATCAATCATCTCCGGGCTTCGGTACTGCAACGTCGTATGCCGCTGCACATCATCTTCAATCAAGCGGCCCTCGGCGGCAGAAGTAGCAGCAGGACGAGGGGGTGCCGATGATCCAAAATCACACAGTTTGTATGTGGCAGAACTCCCCTTGCCCGAGATCAAAACGTTCTCAACTTTCAGATCACGATGGAGGAGGGGCGGTTTAAGATAATGCATACACGCAACACCTTCAGCAACATCGGAGAAGATTTTAACAATCTCCGGCTCTGTCAACCGGTGTTGAAGCCGGGTGTTCATGAAGTCGATAAGACCTCCACCCGCGCAGTACTCCATGACCAGGAACACCTCATATCCACCTCCGCGCAGCTGCGAGGCATGCGAATCAATATACTTCACAATGTGCCGGTGACCCTTGAGCTTCTTCATGGTTTCCACCTCAGTGCGCATGTTGGCAAGGGCCGCCTTGTCAGGGACGGCCACCCGCTTCAGCACTGCGGTTTCGGACCCATTGACTGGCTGGGGCAATCGCACTACGTAGACGTGGGCAAAACCACCTTCAGAGAGGTATTTCTCCACTACCACGCGATGGCCGCCGACTTGGATCTTGGTGCCCGGAAGCAAGGTCCCCGCAGGTGCCGTAACTGCGGCGACGGGATTGTAGACGGGGAATTGACGTGACGTCGCGGAATGACCGTGATGGGATTGTGAAGACATGGTGCCGGGATGCCCTTCAAGGGCAGGTCGTAAATCGGCTCTCGGTGGCTAGCGACGCGGCATAGAGAGTGAGACGGGGATTGGGGGGGCGGTGTTCAAGGTTGGCGGAGATAGGTGCCTGGAAGGGGAACTAAAAGGACAGGTTGGCGGGGAGGCGGAGACACGGGGTAGTACCTGACTACCAGGCTATTTATTACAAGGGGGAAACAAGAAGATTCGAAGCTGAGGTGAGATAGGAAGAAAACGATCAACACTCCGATGGATAGAGAGGGTATTGGAATCTCAAGTGGAAAGTCACCCAATCCACCCAATCACCGGCTGCAGATCACGTTCTGCCGAGTCTTATTCCTCACCATCGGTCACTTCTCCTAAACTACTTTCACTCTCGTGTCCCACTACCAGGCTAATATCCAGTGTTCAGCATGGCCTAAGTGGGCCAGGATGAATACAAGTGCCTCGCATGAGGCCCTATGTCCTCTTATCCCTAGTCATGGTCCCGCACCTTATGCCGCGATCATGGGACATCTATATCGTACGGCGCGCTCGCCACACCTATGGATGGTGACCATGAGATATAGCTGCCTACCTCTTTTCTTTTCTTTCTCTGAGTCATGAGCCCCTTCCTTAACCTCGGACTCGAATTTTAGCACACCCTCCACACTATCCTGTGAACAAGCCTCGGTGGCTACATCCTCCAATTCGAATATCTTGGACCCACTACGTCCAAACTATCTCCCCCAACCGCTTGACCGCAAGATTAACAAGTGTTTTCTAGCGCTCCGGCCCCAGCGTCATATGCTCCGGGTCAAACCACTTGAGGGACATGCTAGGACCGAATGTTCTTTACGCTGGTCGGCAGCTCGAGGGACATAAGGGTACAAAATTTCGCATCAACAGCAATCCCTTGTGTGAACTATATTAAAGCCGCATGTTTGGACTCTTCGCAAAACAATGCGAACATCCGCAGCACCCCGGGCTCCTTATAATGTGCGGGCTGGGTAGAGGCTCAAGTGGTCCGAATGCGAATGCGAGTCCCTCTTAGTCATAGAGTATGGAAATAGCCGCAAAATTGACGTAGAATTTCTTAATATGCATAGCAGCTTGCGAGATATTATTATATATATTTTTGACAACTTGTATGTCTTAAACTAGTATTTACGGGTTCGATTTCCTACTCCATCTCTCAACATTGTAACCAAAATGGTCGGAAGAACAATATTCCAAGCTGACATAAGCACATCCTTTCCCAAAAGAGTAAAATCAAAACAAAACAGCCGTACTTTTGCCATGTCGACAGGACTCTGAGCATTGATGCCTTTCCAGATTGAAAGACTATGACTAGTTAGTTATTAAAAGACCTAACTAGTTAACTATGTTTGAGAACAATCACTTGTATATAGTCATAGCTTTAAACAATTCCATTACTTTAGAAAAGTGCACTGTAATTAATTGTTCTTATAACTAATTCCATCCCTTGAGGCTGTTTCTGAACTATGTTGTAGGTCAAGCCCTACGTAGAATCGCGTGGCCTCCGAGGAATTCAACATAATTCGGATAATATATGGGGAGCCGCATCAAGAACTATAGACAATTATCTCGTTCGTTTGCTCATTCGCATTGCTGAATTTTGGTTTTTGTTTTTGATGTGATGGCCACGTCGAGTGATGCAGAAAGCGTTGGCGCCGATCCTTCGCTCCCACACTTCTCTTCCAAACAAACCCCCCAAAGTCAGACTCAGGTTCTCCCGCGCTTTCAACCTTTTTTTTCTCTGCCTTGCGATTTGGATTTTGTTTGGATTTTTTTATATTTGTTGTGTCCTTTTTTCTTGGATTTGGCATCTGAGTACCCTCTATAGCACTGAGTGCCTGAGGCCTCAGTGCAACACTTGTCAGACTAATATGACCTGGCAGTTGACTCTCAACCGCGAGAACCTGTCCATCTAGGATTGATCCGGCAGATCAACCCAGGTTGTAGCTAGTCGTTCGACCGACGCTACGCTTCGCTGCACTGCGGCGCATATATATATATATTAACCCTATTGTCGGTCCGGACTGATCCAACATGGACGGTCCACCGCCGCCGCCGCCGCCTCATGGCGAAAACCCCCATACGACTGAAGGCGAATATCGCAAATCCTCGGACCTGCCAGATGGCAACTACGACATCTTTATCGTCCCACCTCACTCCGCTGGCTCGGGCTTCCTCTACCTTCCGTCGCTGCAGTGCAACCGAAACAGTTTCCTAGCGGGTGTCGCGAGCACACTGCTCGCATGTTTCGTGTGGTCATACATCTCCCCGATTGTGAAGGCATGGTATCTAGCCACGGTCGCTAGCGGCAGTGGTACAGGTATGGCAGTACTTGCGATCGGGGTGGGTGTCGCTGGATGGCTTTTTGGTTCCATGCAGTCTACCAGCTCTGGAGACAATAAAAGCAATGGCGGTGCTCGAGGTGGGCGATTCGGATTTGGTGGCTTTGGGGGTAGTTCTGGGGGCCCGGGTGGCCCCAGGAACGCCGGTCGAAACGCCAACCAACAGTCATCGGGGGCCAATTACGGCGGCAACGGGGCGGGTCAGCAAGGGCAACAGGGAGGAAACTTTGGTGGAGGACAAACCCACGGCAACCAATATTCCGGTAATCAATATGGCTCTGGTCCTCCTCCAAGTTCTGATAATAACAAACGTGAAAAGGAGGAGGCTGAAAAGCGAGCCAAGGAAGAACGAGCGAAAGAGGAACGAGCGAGGGAGGAGCGAGCAAGGGAGGAGCGAGCGAAGGAACAGCGTGCTCGGGAGGAACGTGCTAGAGAGGAGCGCATTAGAGAAGAACGAGCGAAGGAGCAGCGCGCTAAGGAACAGCGTGCTAGGGAGGAACGTGCTCGGGAGGAACGTGCTAGAGAGGAGCGCATTAGAGAAGAACGAGTTAAGCAAGAGCGAGCTAGAGAGGAACGTGCTAAGGAAGAACGTGCTAAGGAAGAGCGTGCCAGAGAAGAACGCATCAAGGAGGAGCGTGTCAGAGAGGAGCGGGCTAAGGAACGAGCCAGGGAAGAAGCTGAACGGGAGCGAGCAAGGGAAGAAACGAAGCGCAAAGAGGAGCTACGCCGAAAGATGGAAGAGTTCAAACGCAAGCGTGATGCAGAGGCCAAAGAAAAAGAGAAGAAGCGCGAGCGCGAAGCAATGGAGAAAGAATTACAGGAACGGCGCGAGCAGCTCGAAAGGGAGATGGCTGCTGCAAGGGCCGCTGCAGAGAAGGAGGCACGCGATCGACTGGAGAAGGAAGCCGCAGAGGCCCGCGAGAGACAGGCAAAGGTCGAAGCTGAGGCGAAGGCCAAACTCGCAAAGTTGGAAGCAGAAGCCAAGGAGAAGGCTGCCAAAGAAGCCGCTGAGAAAGAAGCCGCCGCAAAGGCCGCCGCCCAGAAAGAAGCCATAGCCAGATTCGCGGCGCTCAAGGAAGCAGCAAGCAAGAAATACGCCGAGAAGAAGGCGCAAGATGCAAAGAAAGAGGCTGCTGCCAAATCACCGCCGCCGAAGCCAGCTAGTACTAGCAATCTGCCTCGCACACCTTCTCCCAAAAAGCCAGCCCACCCGGCCGCAAAAACTGCCAACGATGACGATGCGTACTCATTTCGCCCCTACGACCGACCACGGCGGCCATATGCGGCCGGCACATCAGTATACTCCGAGTCTTCATATGCACCTTCTCACTCAACTGCGCGCACAACACCTCCCCCTCACATCGCAGTACATATTCCACAAAGGATCCAGATAAGATCGTGATCCAAGGCGTATACGCATTCAACAATGCCTTTATGAAGACACCAGTGGCGCAACTTGTCTCAGGCCAAGGCATGATCACCGATGGGCTGGTACTACGTATCACAACCGAAGGTCTCTTTATCGACGATGACCTCCGCGGCATCGGCCAGCGTGAGTGGGACGTCAAGGCATGGACCCTCAAGCTAGCGGAGGTGTGGTGTCCACAAGTGAACACCACTGCATCCGCCAAAACCGCGTCCAGCAACCCTTTCTCTTTCCGTCGTGGGAACAACGTCCCCACCAACGAAGAATCGGAGGCCTTTCTTGGAAACTTGCTTAAAGTATGCAAGAATACTTGCCGGCTGGCTTCGCCAAGTGCGTGCTTCGCGCGCAGCGCTACTGCCAGTCATGGTGGTGGCCCTGTTCACGCGCCCCAGGCGGAATTTCGTGGTTTGCACATTCTCCGCGCCAGTGTCCGTGACCAAGAAGGCAAAAAGTATGTCTTTGTATTGCAGGATACTGAGGCCTGGAAGGTCGCCGTCGGTCTCCAGCGGCTCCGGGCTGGTGCTCTGGTCCGCGCGCTTGGTGTCTCCGCCCTGCCGGTCCCTGAATGCAAAACTATGCTCAGTGCTCTCGGTTATGTTTGATTGAAGACTTGTTATGCCAGCGTTCTATTACTTTTCTTGCATCTTCTTTATTCGCCATTTATCTCCATATGCCCCTTCTTGTGTCCGATTCGACTTGAACGTCATCACTCATTAGCGGTGGAGTTTGCTTTATGCTCTTCTGTCCGGTATATTCATTCGCTATTCTTGTCTTCTTTGCACCATATTTTTTGAGATTCCCCTGGTTTATTTGTTTTATATTAATTAGTACATTTGTTCAGCATGTTGAGAAGTACATATCATAGAACGTTACGATTGCTTATATTGTTTATCATGAATACATAGCATGACCAACCCTTATATATGACAGATGCGCAGCTATGTTCCTCCGCCTTATAGGGGCGGACGAATGAAGCAGAGATGTATATTTGGATATCACCGCAATACATCCTTCAAACTCAAGCTCTTCCTAGATACCCTCTCTTTACTTGAATTTGACTTGAATTTGACTCTCAAGCTACTTACTATGTACTTCGCCAGACCCATTCCACTTATCAGAACTTATATGCGAGTCCAGAACCAATGAAGACTCATGACATTTCAATGGAGCAGAATTGACATCTTGCAATGAAACCTACTGCCAATTACCACTCAGGTTGGCTAAAGATAACAACCCTAAACGCTCGCCTGCCTGTCTACGGTCGAGTACCGTCTCGTGGACTGCTATGTTTCTGATGAGGAACCGACAATTTTGTATGATTAGCTTAATTATTCTTCAAACTAGATACTGCAGACTACATGTAGTTAATAATTGTAACACTTTCGTAATACATCACTGTTGCAATGCGTAAAGGGAAGCATGGACAGATTAGTTATACATGTAGGCATTAGAAGGAATTGCCACCATGTAGTTATGGAGTATACGAGAATGAATCATATTCCGAGAGAAAGATCTTTGTTTTATGAGCGTCATTCTAGTGTATATGCCGTATATGCTTTTGCTTGACTATATGGAAACGAGAATGACGACCTCACAAAGTGCCTAGAACATGCAAAGCGAATCCCTCTATGACAAAAGTCAAGATCAAAGTCAAGGTCAAAGTCAAGAGCGAGACTCAAAGAATAAGACGATAAACAGACGCCGAAAATGGTTGATCGGATGTAGAGCTTGTAGTTCTTCTGTACACATGGATTGTAAAACCATCGTCCACACTGTTCTCATAGATCCACTCCAGAGTGCAGCAGGCGTATACGAAATTCTCCGAAAAAAAGCCACAAGGGTGAAAGAAAAAAAAAGGGAAAGAAAAGACTAGACTGAAGAAAAAGAATTCAGATCTATAATATCGGGAATCATATGGCGTCTCCGCAGAAACACAGTGGAAAAAAAGGCGACATGGCAGTGGGCAAAAAAAGCGAAACCCCAATATCCAACAAATCAGTTATGCAAGATATCGAGGTGCAACTCCAACTCCGGTTGAAAGACATGCGAATTCCTGTTTGGGGTTCGTCATCTTGGGACAAAAGAGGAAATGATCAGTCGTGGTATCGAGTGAATAGAATGAGTTAGATGGCTTCATCTAAAAGTGAAAGCCGCCATGAGAATGACCGAAGGGGTCACCGCCGCCGCCGCCGTTCATCATGTTGCGAAGCATTTCGGGATCGATAGTATGGACGCCGGCACCGCCGCCGCCGAATCCACCACCGCCAAACCCACCGCCGAACCCACCAGCAGGGAATCCACCGCCGCCGAAGCCGCCGCCGGGGAAACCACCACCACCACCGGGGAAACCGCCGCCGCCATACATGCCCTCCCTCAGTTCATCGTAGTTATCATAAGCAGCACGTTTCCTGAAAATCAAATTAGCTCTGTGTCGAATGAACGGTGTTGAAAGTTGTGGCGGACTTACTGAGAATCAATCAAGGTCTCATAGGCTTCACCAATTTCCTTGAACTTCTCATCGCCGGCTGCACCGTCGCGGTTCTTATCTGGGTGGTATACAATAGCCAGCTTGCGGTAGGCCTTCTTGATTTCCTGCTCGCTGGCATCCTTGCTGACTCCAAGAATCTTATAGTAGTCCTTGCGTTGAGACTTCTTCAACTCGAATTCGGCATTTTGTATGTCCTCTGCAATGCCGGTCTCGCTGGGGTTGTTTTCAGCAACGCTCTTATAGTCACGAATAGCCTCCTCCCAGTTACCAGCCTTGCCATTGGCCTTGGCACGGCACTTCATAGCCTTGATATAACCGGGGTCGAGACGAAGAGCTTCAGTACAGTCCTGAATGGCAGAGTCATACTCCTTCAAGTTGATATAAGCCTGAGCACGGTTACCCAGGATCTTGGCATTCATATCTTTGTTAGAGGGGTCAACCTCGAGAGCCTGGGCCCAAAGATCGATAGCACGACCATAATCCTTGGCCTTGAAAGCGGTGTTACCTTCTTCCTTTGTGCGAGCCAACTTCTGCACAATGCGCAGCAGTTTGATGGCCTGCTTCATGTCTGGGTCCAGCCCGAGGCACATCTTCAGAAGCTTCTGCGCCTGCTCGGACTCACCGAGGGCATAGAAGGCACGGGCACGGATCATCATCGCATCCGGATCTTGGCTGTTCTCGCGCAGCAAGCTGATCGCAATGTCCTGTGCCTTGCCGAGCGAGTTGACGTTGTTCAGCTTGAGGTGGGCCTCGGCGGCCAAAAGCGTCCACTTGCGGGGCTCCCTGACACCTTGTCCGAGTCCTTGCCGTGCCTGGTCTAGACAGTAGATCACCATCGACAGACCGCGGTCTTGTGCTATTGTCTCTTCGGCTTGCTTAACGAAACGCAGCATCTTCTCTGCGGCTGCCCGATCAGTGGCGGTCGCTGGTGGCTGGATGCGTGACAGCACCTCCAGGGCCTCTGCGGGTCGACCCAAACTCGTCAGAATCTTAGCCCATCGGTGCATAATCTTTGAGTTGTTGGGGTCGAGCTCGTTGGAGCGCTGAACATCTTCAAGCGCATTGGAAAATTGCTTAGCGGACATGTAGGCCGCTGCACGGTTAGAGAGATAGGCCGATGAGTTGGGGTTAATCTCGATGGCTGCAGTAATAAATAAAAAAATCATCAGCGACCCCGCTCATTCAAGGCTAAATCATGAGACACGGAGTCCCTGTGAGATAGGATAACACATACCCTTGTTGTATTCCTCGATAGCTCGTCGGTAGTTGCCATCCTTGAAGAACTTGTTTCCGGCCAACTTGAAAGAGTCGGCCTCGTCGGCAGAGGCTGAATTCGGCTGGTGTGGTGGCGGGGTCGGACTCCGCTCCTCAGTTCCATTCATTCCATTGTTCTGAGGTTCCTGAGGATCAATATCCATGGAGCTCCGCTGCTCTTCGTTTGCTGCCATGGCGGACAATCGACGACGTAGCTCGTCAGGTGGGAGATTGAGTGGGTGTGTGTCCTGGTCACGCGAAGACCGAGCAAACTTGAAATTGGAGGTCGGTCCGGAATTGGAAGATGACCGACTGTGAGGAAAATAGGATTTGGAGGATTTGGAGGATTTGGAGGGTTTGGAGGGTTTGGTGGGGGACGAGGATTTGGAAGGAGATTTAGATGACTTAGTTGGGGATTTGGAGGGCGAATTCGGAGATGGAGATGTGCGCGAAGCGGAAAATGAATTTCGGGATGAAGGTATATCAGGTTTGTTCTTCTCGCTCTTCTCCTTATCCTTGTCCTTTTTGAAGAAGTGGGCGAGTTGGACCATTGGGGGTGGGGAGGGAGGTTTTTTTTTTTTCTTCTATCGAAGGCGGTAGAATCGGGGAGATTTTCCCTGGTGTGTGAACCACAGATGGGAGGGACTTGGGGAATATCAACTTCCGGACTTTTGGCAACTTCACAACTTTGACAACTTGGTGAATCTTTTTTGATTCAAGTTTGACCCATGTCTTGTCTCATTCTTTGATTTCTGTCATATCAATAATAATAATAAAAATGATGTTGATTGCCGACTGGGTTTGGTAGCCTTGATGTCTGATGTCCGAGTGAAAACTATGTTTGTAGGCCGAAGAAATTCGTCGGGCACGTCCTCTTATAATATATAATTTTTTTTTCTACTCTATCATATGTCCCATCTTTGCTACTGGCTAGCAAATAATCCAGAGGCTGGAGAGCTGCTGGTCTGTGTTAGCGCACAAAAGAATTGGAGCAATAGAGTCACTCATTCCTTGACCGGGATTCATACCCAGCCGCGAGGGGGAGGGGGAAAACAAGTCGAAGTGATTCGAGAATCTTCCATCTTCTTATTCTCGTCTTTTAATCCCCATCACCCCCTCAACGGAAACTGCAGGGGTGGCTAGCGAGGCTGTTTACTCGCGGTGGAGCAGTGGATCCAATATGCAGTTTGCTAGTTTTCTACAATTTATGCTGACGGGTGATAGACATACAGCAGCGATGTGACTGGCGTCTCGGAGAGGGGAACCCTGCATCAGGCTCTTCGTTTGGATATTACTCACACTAATCTTGTCTGGACCAATCCAGCTACATCTCGGCTCTCCATGCCCAGGTGCTGGAGGTGCCGGGGTATACTTATACAACGTATCGAGTACAAATGTCTTGGCCCGATTAGGACTCGTCTGATATCCATAGTACAAATGTCTCTTGTAGGCGAAACATATGTGAAACACCGGTCTTACAACGTCATCACATAAGTCTGATTTATGAAAAAAAGGTGCTGAAAAGTAAGTAACTATGAGAAGCTCTACAACATATTGCACGGAAAGGCTTAGAAAGAGTTATGAAGCATATCAAAGGGACGGGTAGGGAGAGAATCATAATATCAGAATGACAAATTCATTTGATAACTCCAGGGCCATTTCACTAAGGTATCCATTCCCTCTCTTGAAGCTACCATGTTGTCATTGACATGACCCCCAGCTCCTCATGGAATTCCCACGGTTAATCATTTCGGATTTGACTACTCCAACTAACATTATAGAAGATCGTTTACATTATGGCATTAATAGAGAAATACTGAGGGTAATCTCCCTCAGATCCAAATGAATTTGACACTCAAATTGATAGTGGAGAAGGGTCCATGGGTCCATTGATGACCCCTGTTCCGTTCCCGGTAGCGTATTTCCGCCAACATCGAAAAGCCAATATTAAGAAGAACCAATAACAGTCGACCTTGTTAACGGCTGACGGGGATCCGCCATCAAAAGTTCCCCAATACACGCTGGATATATGAATTACAGCTTCATAATTTGAATTCATAATAACCTCTGAGCCATTGAGAGAAGTCAACCAACACAAAAGTCTGAGAGTCTAAGATCAAACTGAACAAATGTTACGGCCCCTTTCTCTATAAGCGGTGGTCAATGTTATCTACGAAAAACTGTTTCAAAAGAAAGGGGAAAGGCAAAATTGCATCAGTCAATGTCTATTCATAGATGCCCGAGCCAGGCCGCGAATCAATATATTCCCATGACATATCATAAAGCTTATAACGCTAAACAAACACCAAACACCAAACAAAGAGGTACTTCGCTCAAGAACACTCAATCACGCCCATTTCCGCCGATTCTCATGCATCCTTCGAGCAGTTCCAACCCAGTTGGAAACCCGGTCATCTCTTAAACTACGTCCGTCATGGGGCGGGGACTGTCTCAGAAGATTCTCCCGACAAAGGCGATTATTGTAGTCGATGTGCTGGTCAAGACATTGAAACACATCCTGCCATGGTGTAATTGTTGAAATGGGCGAAATTGGCGAGACTGGTGATTGACAAGACGCTGTATCATCTCGGGGCCGAGAATCATATGTGCGGGGCCTATATCTCTCTCCAACAATCCATTTCTTTTCATCTTCGAGCCAAGTGAGGGGCACACAGCTCCGTGGTCGCACGGGAGGATGTGGGATGTGTTGTATACGTGGGAACATCTCGTATTCATATTGCGGATCGCAGTTGGGGGATAGTTCGTCTGGCGGATTGCTCGTATGTCTACGGGCAGAAGCCCGCCTTATATTGCCATCGATTGTAGAGTAGTTAGGTGACCATTCCTGCAGTCTGTTGTAATGCTGTGTTGGCAAGATAGGATCCGTTGAAGCAGGTCTCGGTGGCAGAGGCTTTGGGAGTAAATGTTGAATTGGAGCACGCGACTGTGTATGAATACGAGGAGGAATCGTATCTGGCAGAACAATGAAGTTTGGATTAACCATGGGTGTGCCTTCGAGGGATGAGAGATCCATGAGAGGATAGTCAAGGTCGGAGCGTGGTTTGGGATGTTCGGAAGCTCGTCGCTGGGATAGACAGGAAAGCATTGTTCGATGGGATAGGGATTTTGACAAGTAGATCATTTATCATATGGCTTGATATACTATCTTTAGACACGAGCTTTGTGCAGAGTTCAATAGTGGACCGTCACGAGGGCCCGTATCCAAAGCCAGAATAGAACAGAGAACTTGGAATAAAAGGGTCCCTTCTAGAGCGGATATCCACTCCTCCCCGGAGAACATATTGTGTAGGTTATACACAAAGAAGGAGCAAATCCAAGGCAGATTTATCGACAGTGGAAAGGATGCTATTAGGGCTAAAAAAACACTGATTTTCATCCATTGTTCTTATCCATCGGGCATCCCGAAGTCATCACTGAAAATCAATTGCCCGATTGCGAAATTGTACTGCTCCTTTTCAGGACAATGGTCATGGATGTCCCACCAGGTAAAACAAAGGATATCAAAAGAAAACCCACCACAATCCCAAAATTGATTAGTTGCTTGAAATCTAATTTGGGGTCTAAATACATCCATCCACTCAAGGGGCTATACATTTTTTTCTTTCTCACTGCAATGATCTCAACTTACTAGATATGTTTGGGCTTTCCAATGTGTGTCTTTGGAATTTAGCAGAAATGGGGCCTGTCCGAAGGCCAAGCCTGCCAAGGCACTTCGCATATTGCAATAATTAGAAGGGGTCGTGGTTCCAAACCCCCGTATTTAGGGCTCGGATCCGATATGTGTTGGGGTCTGAGAATAATCGAGGGTATCAAACACTGCTTTGATTCCTTTCTTCTTCCCTTTGCTTGACTGGAAGTGTCCGAGTAGCACTAAAAGACACCTGATTCGAGGGTGGGAGCCCAACTCGATCCTCAATGAACAAGCAGACTTCCGATTCAGCCACCCAACGCACGAATGGTGGGGCTCTCTCTATTTTTGTCTGCGAATTGTTTATTATGTACAGCGTTTATACTCATGTGTGCCTGTAATAGTACTACTAGAATAGGCCGCTTATGCAGCCTTGTTATGTCTATTTCCGTACGCCAGTCTTCTCAGATGTCTGAGATATTTTCCAATATGAATGTTATTGGTGCTGTGGCTAGAATGAGACACTATAGCAGTCATTGGCAGAGGCAATACTCGAGGTTGAATAATAAGCACTTTATCTAGACTGGCCAATGATAATATGGAGTGAGATGAACTTGTCTGGGAGCCTTCAAAATGACGAAAGTACTAAAACAAGTTATGGAATTATAAAGGTGGATATAAAGGTGCAAAAGTAAGGATACATTCCAAATGGGCTACGGGCGCTGGAGAGAGGGAGAATGTGAAAAGCTGTCATGGTTTACATTAAGGTCGTGCTCAAGCCACCAAGCGAGCTTCGCACAACTCCGAAGCTATCCAGGAGAGCCCGAGAAGAAATAAAAAAATATATGTATATCAAAAAAGCAAAAAAGGGATAGTCATATCCAGTCAGAAAGCAACAATTGTTAATAGTAAATCACCAGAAACCCTAAGTAACACAATCCTCTTCTCACGTCACCTCTAATCAACCACTCCAGTTCAACACAATAGCCACGCCAGGGTTAGACCCATAGGATCCAACTAGGTGCAGTGCATCAAAACCCGGAAGAAGTCATTTACAGGAAGAAGGCAGCGACGGCGGCGACACCGGCGAAGCCGACGGAGCCGCTGAGAGCACCGGCACCGTTGAAGGCAGGGGAAGAGGTAGCGGGGGAGACAGCAGCGGTGCCGGAGGCAACACCCTTGCTGCTGGAGGGAACGTGGGGGACACCACCGGTGGGGCCGTGGGGGACGTTGCTACCAGCGGGGGTGCTGGCGGTAACGGGCACGGTAGAGTAGATGACGGTGGGCACACAGGTGGTGACGGCAATCACGCTGTTGGAGACCACGGGGGCGGGGGCGCTGGGAGCGCTGGGAGCGGGAGCGCTGGGGGCAGGGCCGCTGGGGGCACTGGAGGGGGCGCTAGGGGCGGGAACACTGGGGGCCCAGGTGGGGACGGAGGACCAGGCAGGGGTCTCGGAAGACCAGGCAGGGGTCTCAGTGGAGACGGGGGCGGTCTCGGTCTCGGGGGCCTCACCAGCGGGGCTGGTGACAGCAGCGGGAACGCTGGAGGGGGTGGTGCTGCCAGTGGGCTCAACGCCGGCACCAGAGTTGCCGGGGCAGTCGGTGACGGTAGGAGCGCAAGAGGTGATGGTCACCTCATCGGTCTCGTAGACGGTCTGGTCGGCACCGGGGGCGGCAATGGCAAGGCCAGCGAAGAAGGCGATAGTGGCAGTAGTGAAACGCATTTTGAATGTTTATGTACGAAAACCGTAAAAAGGGATGTTCAAAAAGGTATATATAAAAAGCTTAGCTTTCGAAAGAGAGTGAGTTGGTTTTTTAAAGAGTGGAAGACCGAAGTCGAGAGAGAATGACTGGATGCTTTGCAACGAAGAATGTACTTGGAGAGAAGAAAGAAACAGAAACAGCACGGGGGAGGTAGGGGGCCTTTGTATGAACGGGGAGATTAGTGTCACAGATCAGCAGCCACTTGCTTTCTGGTTGTTTTGATCCATTTGGATCCATTTTGGCCCTAAAAAAAGGGGAAAAAAGAACAAAGACCGAAGTTGGTACTAGGTACTTAATCCACCACTAACCCACACCGCAACCTGCCATGTACTTAGAACTTGATCCTCGCACAGCCTTCATGTATTTAATTATTTCAATTCTATGATTGGATCGATGTTAGGGTCTTCATTGGGTGAATTTGGTAATTTTGACCCGCTATGATTTCTAGCGTTAACTGATGATGATCACATACAACCCTGACGGAGTATCAAATTTCTATATTAAACCATCGGATGTTGGTAGATGTACATAACTACATACTCTATACTCCCATAACAAGAGTTACAAACTGCAATATTACTCTACAATACCATCTCCTTCTCTCAGATACAGATGTGTTTTTTGTTTTCTTTTCCTAATCTTGATGTTTCAGACCGCATCGCCGATCCACTACCCGTTCCTGGCATCCCAGTTGTGAGCATTTCCCCGTGGGTCTATTCTCATCTCCACTTACCCCTGAACAGCCCGCCATTTATTTCGCCAAGAGAACGTATTGTGTAAGGGCGAGTCCACGATGATGTGAACTTTACTTGTGAAGTGGGATTGGTTCTTTCTCAAGACATTCACCTTAACATGGGGGCTAACATGGGACCCAAAACAACTTTCTATTTCTTTGTCGGCATAAATCCCGAGACATCCTCGGTATTATTTCTCCATGCTATGTATTGCCGTTACACATTAGTACCTTTTGACTATTATTATACCTGATTTCTGTGGATCCTAATTTGTGGCGCTGTACTGTGCCCTCCGGAACACCGAGTATATCACCGTCCGAGACCTTTTTTTTGTACTGTTGTATGTTATACTCCGTAACTATGTTGTATGTTGACCATGTTTCCTGGCATAAAAGAGTTGCCGTTTCTTACTCTCCCTATTGCGCAATCGCTGTAATATTATAAACCCGGCCAATTTTAGTAAAACTACGTAGGTAAGCCGATAAAGCCGAAAAACAACGCCACGACTCGAGTTACTTTGAATTGCCCCCGCAACGGGAAGGTCTCGCTTCACGCCGTAACGGCTAGACCACATTGTTTTAGTTCTAGCCATAGTGCTTGACCATGCTTGCATCTCGTGCCCCTGGGCTAGGCAATATGGAAGTCAATGCCCAAGCGTAATTTGAGAAACTAATAATATCAGGGCCTGGCTGTGTGATTGGGTGACCCTGACATGGCGCATATGCTGTAATTTCGAGTCTGTTACACCGGCCACTCGAGCTGCACAGTCGATTTTACTTTTTGCCGTTTTGTGACTATGTTGTACTTGTAAGAAATGTGTACACTGAAATAATCCGTAACTAGTTAACTATACATACATAACATACTTGTATGTTGTAGTTCACTGTGATTGGAACCTGCAGCATCAAAGCGTGTCGATCTTCATCCTGTTCCTAAGTCGAGAGCTTGGGTCAGACTTTCGAAGCGGTTCGACCGCCAGGGCGAGTCAGGGTATTGTTGTACCTAGGCAGTGTTGCATAGCCAATGATCGTTTAACCCGGTTAACGCCTTTGACTTTAGACCAATTTTTGTTGTCCGGACTCCATGATAGGGGTTGTTCGCATTGTCCATGGGCCTCGTGGTGCCCCCGAAACTCCACATGCCGCTATTGAATTATTGCGCTTCATGGCCCCTTTTTCAATAGATCGGGCCTTTATTCTATTCCAACATACTACTTTATACGGTAAAACTGTACCCTTATCAACCCCATACTCAACTTTGATACTATGTTTAGCTACAATTAGCTTTGTGGGATATAAATTATTGGTGGAGCGTATTTTATATATATAGCACAACGTTGAGCCCTACCATCAAGGATAGGTGTGTTCGTGGGATAAGGATTTGAGTGGACCTGGAACTTTTCTGAAGTTCAGCCTCGCCTATCGCGTGGGATAGATATCCTTGGCCTATTTGATCTCAGTTGTCTCTGAGTCTCTGATGTCCAGGGTAAGGGGCTTTTGTCTCAACTCACCGCTAATACCGCATTCTGGGAGTCTCCCTTCACATCCTTTGACATTTCATAACCATTGCGCGGCGCCATGAGCAAGACGGATATCACATCGGCCAAGCCGAGAAATTTGTGATTGACGTCCAAGTCAACTTTCTACTGCTCAATTACTTGGACTTGATATGACAGATTCTATATGGCTTGTTCCCCCTCACATAATACCAACAGATCTACGTTGTAGGATGATGTCCTTTGCGCCCACCCAAGTCATCAATTCTGCTTTGATGCAGGACTTTCATCATCTGCTACTCCATCACATCGCCTAGTCCACCCTGCAGAATCCGATTTCATGTTTTCATTTGATCGCCATCAATGATCACCTATCCGTCACCCAACCCGACCGATCAGCATCGACGCGTCACTATTTTAGCGCCGATGACACAAGCGAGCGGCACTGAGAAGAATAGTAGACTCGTTGAGTTTATATCTATTGAAAAACTCCGTACAGAGTATGTACGGAATCCAGATACACACATACAACATAAGGACAATTTTTTTCGTACCACAATGGGCTTGATGGTATCATGTAATACAACATTGAAGACAACACCCGTGGAAGCTCATGGTTATAATATGAAACATAGACTATTTTCAAAGGATCGGAAAAGCTAGCTACTCTGCACGCTGCCTTTCAAATGTGGCGTTGCAATTCTCTCAATGGTCATGGATCGCGAATTACTATGGTCTTTATTTAATTAGTTCTATGATCAGTATGGTCATGTTTAGAAAGTCTGTAGCACCGAGGCTGGGCCTCCCATTTCATCCAACAGCGAGAATCTCGATCGTGGCTCATTTTGCTTTTGGTCACTGTGGTTATCAGGATGATTAGTATAAACAACCTTTTTGAAGACAAGCACCCGATTTTGTCAAGAATTTTCTAGTATTATTTCTCTATTAGCTAGGTCAGACATCCTTTAGGATCAACTATTCCACTGCGGGTAGAGAGTCTAGGTTGCACTAGAGTACGTAGTATATCTAACAGCTAATGTTGTATCTGCTCATTGGGGCCAAAATTAGATCGAGGTTTAGTTACCGAACGCTTGTCTCAAATGAACTAACTCAATTGTGATATCCACACTGGAATTATCTACGATGTTGTACGACTGAGCTTGACCTTATGGAACTAGGCACCGGCAAGAATTAGGTCTACATATAATCTAAATCACGGCCTTTGGAACTAAACGCTTCGATAGTAGCCGATCTTGTTAACGCCCAGATTTCGGGACAAACCCAGTGACACTGAAATGCTACTGGTGCGGATCAAGTAGGGCTTCCGGGCCCGCCCATGTCATCATCGGGTCTCATTGCGTGGCCACAGGGGGGGGGCTAAGCCACACCTTTCATAACCCCTCAATGACATATCTACACGTAGTTAATTTGGTTTGATTTTTGATATATTGGCCTCGCAATGGTATAACTGGATATAACTGGAGATTGCATCATATAACACATTGGATAGATTGCAAAAAAAACAAAACAAAACAAAAAGTCGGTACTTCTGTAAGGCTGGACAGCCGGGTAAGATCTCTACAGCCTGTGATAGGTTGTCTTTAGGTGGGGGAGACCTTGATAGGCTTGAATGTGCTGGCAATGATGCCTCGACGCCACAGTTTACCTGTAAGTGTGCCCAGTAATTGCGGCTCCAAGGCAACAACGTAAGGTTACAACGTTTGACAATTTGACAATTTGACAGTTATACTAGTAGGAGAGTAGAGATCTAGTAATTTGTTTTAGTTTTAGTTGACATTGTAGCACGTGTATGTACATTAGTAGTTACATTATTTTATATGTATGTATGTTGTACATAGATATAGACCCGATATAAAAATCAAAAAAAAGGGGAGAGAAATATGAACCATGGTACTCAAGAGAATTCTCTGTTTCCCCGATAATTCATAAGAAGTAGAAGATGCATGTAGATATCAACATAGTAATTCACACAAAAATCAAGACATCTATATTGTATGTTGTAATAATTGTACTCTGTACATCCTACAAAGTACATCATAGACATGTGTTTCAGCTCAGGCGCTTTCTGAAACATCGAGGCCCCACCACAGCCCGACACCTCTCTTGTCGGCTGTGTCGCTCTATTAATATTCTCTTATGACGAGAGAGTTTTCTAGTCCTACAAACGTTTGAAGTAGACGATTATTTGACTTATATTCTATAAAAAGTACGAAGGGATCCTCTATTTCTTATATGGTGGAGTAACAGGTCACCTGCCGCATCTCTCGGTAACTTCCAAACTCCACTCGTTTGTTCTCCAGGGCTCTACCTTATCTCTTCTACTTCTACTTCTACTTCTGCTTCTGCCTCTTCTTTTGTCTTTGTTTCTATTTCTGATTCTGCTCTGCCATTCACTTTACTTTTCGTTCACTCCAATCCGTCTTTCCCCCTCAGACTTACCAAGGTGGACTGATCCAAGGTCGACACTGTGGCTACTCTTGCAGATCCGAACGAGTTGTTCTTGCCTGGTGAAAGGCAAAACAATCTCGCCATGTCATCACCCGTTCCTCTCCTTCGTCCACCGGTTCCTGGCGCTCGCAACAATAATGGCAGCCCACGAGCCCCGAAGCTCACGTTAGGCATCCCCCCTCACCTAGCGCTAAACCCGTCAATGGCAATCCCGCACCCGCCCAAGTACCTCAAATCCAAACCCAGCCCCAACCTCAGCCTCGTCCGTCGGGTCGACCAGCACCACCACGACTGCATCTCGCAACTCCTATGGGCGCTCAGCAGAATGTATCCCAGCCAACCCTCATGCCGAACGGTCGACCAGCCCCGCCCCCACTGAGTACAAATGGCCTAGGAGGTGGAGGAGGTGCACCCAGTCTAAAAATTCAGACCAACGGACCAGCCTCTTCAAACCCTTCATACTCGACGATTAATTTCGCCATGGGCCTCCGACAACCGGATGGCTCGTCAGATCCGTCTTCGGCCATTAGTTCGGTGTACTCAGATCGCGAGAACGGAGACCGTGAAAACAATGTAAACGGTCTCCTCCCCGATCTGGACAAATTGTGTCTAGAGAAGGGCCGACCCCTCGATGTGGATGATCTCGATGATGAAGGCTGGCACGCGGCCAGTGAACAGAATATGATTGTTGAACTTGGAAGTCTGGGAGAGGGTGCCGGCGGAGCTGTCACCCGATGCCGACTCAAGGAAGGAAAGACCGTTTTTGCATTGAAGGTGCGTCGCTTTGGCTGGTCAACCTTCTGCATACCTGCTCTCGGCCATAGAAGCTAACATCCCATCCTAGATCATTACTACAGACCCCAACCCGGATGTCAAGAAACAAATTGTTCGAGAGCTTAACTTCAACAAAGACTGCGCTTCGCACCACATCTGTCGTTACTATGGTGCTTACATGGACAAGTCCACTGGCACCATCTCTATCGCCATGGAGTTCTGTGAAGGTGGAAGTCTGGACAGCATCTACAAAGAGGTCAAAAAGCTTGGAGGTCGCACTGGAGAGAAAGTCCTTGGCAAGGTCGCAGAAGGTGTCTTGAATGGATTGACCTATCTCCACAGCCGAAAGATCATTCATCGAGGTGCGAACCATTCTCTCGCGATATATATTGACCATAAGCGGCTAATCTTTTCTAGACATCAAACCATCGAACATTCTCTTGTGCCGTGATGGCAAGGTCAAACTCTGTGACTTTGGTGTCAGCGGTGAATTCGGTACCAAGGGCGACGCCAACACTTTCATTGGCACTTCCTACTATATGGCCCCGGAGCGCATTACTGGTCAATCATACACCATTACATCCGACGTTTGGTCTCTCGGTGTGACTTTGCTGGAAGTCGCCCAGCACCGATTCCCCTTCCCTGCTGATGGGACTGAGATGCAACCCCGTGCAGGGCTAATAGATCTCCTAACTTATATCGTCCGCCAGCCAATCCCGAAATTGAAGGATGAGCCACAAAATGGCATTCGCTGGTCGGACAACTTCAAATATTTCATCGAATGCTGGTATGTACATTGTCTTTGTAACTTTCATTTTCTATACTAACTCGATCACCAGCTTGGAAAAAGAACCCCCTCGACGTGCGACACCCTGGCGGATGCTGGAACATCCATGGGTGCAGGATATGAGAAACAAGAAGGTCAACATGACGAACTTTATAAGGCAGGTGTGGGATTGGAAAGAGTAAACAAATCCCCAAGGGCCCTTTCTTTTTAGGGTGCTTTACTGCTTTCCTGCTTTGCTGCATTTATTTTGAGTATGAGTGGCTGGACCCCAAGGATTGACCTGGCTGTCAACAACTCAACCCCGTTTATCACGACTCTACTTCGTATCCATCTGCGTTTTGTGCTTTCCGCTGGCTCCCCCGGGCCGGAACTCGCGGGGCTCGACATTACTCTCATACCCCCCTTATCATCAGCAAATGCTTTTTCCTTTTTTTTTTCCTTCGACACGAATCTCATCGGCTACACTTCACCTACGATCCTTGATGGCCCGACATTCTCCATGCGTCGCATACCCTTCGATCCTTTTCGCCTTCTGGTTTTCACCGTTTCCCTCATCTCCTTCCGATGGACTGGTCTCTCTTATTTTGCTTTGGTCATTTTCTGTCACATTTCGAGCCTGGACATATCCTCCATCCCCGTATTTCGTTTTTTATTTTTGTATAGCTCGCTTTCTTAGTCTGCTTTAAGGTTATACTTTGGGTCTACTTCTCGCTTTGCACTGGATGCGGGAGTGTTGCAATGCTTTGGAGACTTCATTTAGGACATACTTAGGCACTTAATATCATTTGCATCTTGTCTTCGATTTTGGTTATATGTATATGAATACAAGAATATAAGTATGGACTCGCCCATTTAAGACCGTCCACATTCTAGTAGAATAAAATATGTCTCATTGTTATCATAAAAGCTACATACAGCACTGGTTTCGATACGCGTCCTTTTCAACCACAGAAGCAACTGCAAGGTGTTCCAACCTCCAGTTACTCGCAACCTCATATTACCCCCCGCCTTTCCTACTTCTTGCTCACCGGATCAGCGCCAAGAACCCAACCGATCCCACTAACCAAACCCCCAGTCATCATATTGCTAACCATATCCCTCTTCCTAACACGACCCTCACTATCCGGCGACAGGGGCCGATCATTATCCTGAGTAACAACCGGCGCCGAACCATCAGCCGCGCCCCTCAACGGGAAAGCATTCTTATGCAGCGCCAAAGCCGCACCACGAGCAACCTCAAATAGACCCATGGGCGCCTCGTGACGGTGAGAGTTCGGCATTGCAGCGCGCGCACGACGCGCAGCACGCTGCTGCTCCGTGTCAAAGGCGTCACGCTCCGAATCCGAGGGCCCGAATCCGCCCGGGACGGAGGTCATTGTGTCGCCTTTTCTATCCCAGAGGTCTTCTTCTTGCTGTTCACGCGCGCGCAACGAGGTTAGTTCTTCGTCGCAGCGACGCCAGGCGCCGAGGATTTCCGGGAGTGGGTATGGAGAGGGCACGAGGGCGAGTGCAAGGGAGAGGAGTTCCATTCGCTGGGTGAGGTGCGAGATTTGGGATTGGAGGGTTGGCGGTGGGTGGGTTGGTGTTGTGGCGCGGTAGCGGCCTGCGTTGTAGACGGCGCGCCAGGTGATGTCGTCGGGGACGGAGGTGGTGTTTAAGAGAGGGGAGGAGGTTGAGAGGAGGGAAGGGGGTGTTAGTCGGGTTAGGATGTAGGAGTAGGCTGTGCCGAAGTCGTTGGAGGATAGAGCGGAGGCAATTGCTAGGGAGGTGATACGGCGTTCTGCTGTGAGGAGGGCGTGCTCCTTTGAGGGTTTGTGGTGAGTTGGCTCATCTTCGGCTTCGTGTGATGTCGCCTGCGTAGGAACGCCTGCGGCTACTAGGTTTCGCCCAATGGAAAGAAGATCGTCTAGTTTGGTGTAGCTCTTTGGATTTTGCTCGAGTACTTTCTCAATCAAGAGGATGGGATCGTGATGGACACGAATGCTAACAGGCTGGAATGGAACACCGTGTTGTAGGGTCAGCGAATAGTATGAGAGTGCGTGTGTTGCGGCGATGAGGGCATGGATCTGCTTGAATAGAACAGACTCTGGGAAGTATAAGGCAAACGATTGTAGACTAAATTACTGTCAGTAACGAGTCCATGTATCCTCTTTTAGTAGCACCACTTACATGTCGTAAGCTCTCTTCATTCCACCCCGGGTTCGATTTCCGTTGCTTGCGTTATCGTACGCTGTGAATATGGCCTCTTGCACCGCAGCTTCCACTTGGACATGATCAAGTGGCGCTGTTTTAGAGTTGGTGTATATATCAATAGCCAATTGATACTCTAGAAATAACGTCAGTATTGACAACAAAGAATGAATTTGGGTCACATTACCTTTAGCTGCCAGCAGGGCCTTCAAAATCTCCGTTTCAACTGTATCACGCGAGATCCGCCAGAAAATTCCATGGTATGGTGAAGGTTCATCCCAGGCGTTGTCGGACTGTTCCTCCTGCCAATCTCGAAGCCAAAGCAATCGTTGTCGAACCATAGACCAGTCTTGGTTTACATTCGGTTGCTTCACAGTAGAATTCACCACGCTTTTGAGTTCGGCCAATTGCATTTCCTCGGTGCTGTGAAGGCACATGTTTGCCGCAACCCGACAGGGAACCAGATGACCAAGTTCGGTCAGTATACGAAGGGACAGAAGTAAAGCGCTAAGAAACGAGATCGACGGGGGCGATGGTTTTGTAAGAGGATTCGTCGGCCTCAAAAGGGCGTTCTGCAATAGAGATGCGCGGGATGTCGAGGAGACTGGCTCGGTATCATAATGCACAGATGGCAGTTCTAACTCAGAAGTGAGGTACAAGCTGTCTTCAAGATCGAGGAGCTTCGCGACCCTCGTCAAAACCTGGAACGAGCCCTCCAGTACAGCCATCGAGGAATCTGCATGGGCATACACCACAGCAAGACCGGACTGGCCGTATCGAACCTGTAAATCTCTCGCCTGCTGTTCGGATAATTTCGTGCCAGCATTGTCGTATCCCCCCAAGTCCACATCTGATGGTCCATCCCAGTGGGTATAGGCGCTCACAACGCTGTCGCGGTCGACAAGACTCCTAGACAGTAGCCATTCGTTCACGTGTTCCCATCCAGCCAATTCGGTTGCTTGGGGTTTCTCGGAGCCTTCAATGAGAGAAACCGAACTCTGCTGAGCTGCTTCATTAAGCCTTCGTCGCTTTGACCGATTACCACCATAGAGCCAAGGCCCGATCAGACCCTTCAAGTTGTTGACCAAGTCCATGTTGCTTTCTTCGGAGCTCACCAAAGACAGGAGAATGTTGACCGCGGTTTGATCGTCCACAGACTCCAGGATCTCAAGAGATATAGTTTCGTCGTGATGGGCGTAGAATTCGTAGTTCAGTCGAAGCAATGGTAATAGGCTCGATATCAGCCATGTTCGAATGATTGGCGAGTTCTCGTAGAACGGGATGATAAGCTCGAGGATAAGAGGCTGAAGTGCTGTTTCCGAGTCGATCAGATGTGCTCGGTGAATAAGGAATTTGGTCAAAGGATCTGCTGAAGCTATCTCGTCTTCCTCGTCAGGGCGTTCCAGTGGCCGTAAATGAAGCTTCCGCACGCGCTTTCTGGCAAGTGATTCGGACAAGTCCTGCACGGCAGAGGTATTGATCGGTCGGTCAGATGGCGAATTGGAGCTATTTGCTAGCTCTTGTAGCACCGGGGTGTACTGAGAGGGCTCCGTGCTTTCTGGGAGAAAGGTCAAGATGATGCGCAGGAGGCGTTCCAACGGGAAACAATGGGGAAACCGGGCCTGTAGGATAGGCAAATCCGCCACACTGCCACCTGCGCAGAGTTGTGTAGCTAGTATAATAGCATGCGCATCGGACAGCTCTTCGAGAGCCATGGTCAAGCTAAAGAGACGAGGCAGTCCAGTGAGGTGGCCTCATAGTTGGCGATGACCATGTTGCATACGGCGGGGCGCACAGACCAAGTCGGAAACGAAAGGGAAGAGTCGCATCCACCGGCACTTCATCACTACCTTTTTCGCGGTCTCTGTGCCTACCACTTACGCAATTACCTTCTTCTACACATCACAATGGCTTCCGGTTACGGTAACAACGGCGGTATGTGCTCACTTTCCCCTTCCCCGGAGAACCTGCTCGGGTCCGCGCCGACATGCCCTCGGATCACAACTTGCGCACGCAGTTCCCTCCTCCACGAATAAAACCGGCTAACGTACTATGGCTTTTTCTAGGTCCCGGCCGCTGCTATCCCTTCTGGCAAGAGGTTCTTGGTTGCTACGTGGTGAACTCGGGCGATGGTGCGAGCGGCAAGAAGAAGTGTGTGCCCGCCCTGGACGATTACTATGAGTGCCTTCACCACCGGAAAGAGGTAAGGGCAATCCCCGCTCGATCGAGATACCCGCACACTTGAATGATGGACCTGAGTCTAATAATGGGAAATTGGAACAACAGGCTCTCCGCACTATGAAGATGCAAGCTGCCTATCGCAAGGCCGAGGCCGCACACCCGCGAGAGAACGCCCCTAAGGCTGAGCAAATCCGGAGCTTGGGTCTACTTGGGAAGGAAGAGGAGGCAGCCAATGTGCTGAGCCAACGGTGAATGGGAAGGATTTGCTTATTCTTTTTCAATGCGTGTGATTCCGTGTTTCCGCCTCGGGACTTTTGCCCGGAGCCTGTGACTGTATAGAAACGCTTAACTGGTTGACTTTCAGGCCTGTCAGTGCGAAATGATACTCCAATTCAACGACAAACAGTTCTTTATCTTTGATTTCGATGTGCTTGATCCATAATGGATTCCCGAAACGGCAGATGTCGGCATGTAGGACGATATATACCCGATCTCAGAAGTCTAATTGACGAGATAAGCATGGGCTGTGATTGAGCACGGGAAACAGGTCGAATTACCAGTCCCACGCGTCTAGCCGCTTATCCCGGGGTTCTTTGTATAGCTAGTTTTCTCTTTATATACTTCAAGGAATTATACTTTGAAGAATTGTATGACGCCATAAGCCCTTGACTGTATTTATAACAAAGATCTAGGGTCGCAGGCATAATTTATATGCTCGGGTCGAGGGGGAAAGTAAGAAAGCATGAAAGAAAAAGGATTGACAAGGATGATAATCTATATAACGGATATATATAGTTCGGAGTGTGCATTTGGATAGCGACAAAATTGGGTTGACATCTTATCTATATATACGTATAGAAAGGCATCACTTTTGAACCCGCGATTTGATCAAATATCGTTCAAATATTATACCTAGGTAAAACTATTAGCTATAACTACATCAACATACATACACACTGCTGATCTTCATGATTCCTTGAACTTAGAAGAGGCCATCTGGCATGTCTTGGCATTACTCCCTCCTTCAAAGCTTGAACGAATTTTCAGATAACCCTTGACTTGTATTATTCACGGAAGGTCAGTTCAACATAATATCTTCCAATACATTAAACCGGGTATTTTTGATCAATCTAAATGCTCTATGTCATCCAACGCGTTTGATTGACTCACGTGATCTTTCCAGCAGCAGGAAAAAAAATCGACGCCCTGTGAGTGGAAGCCCACCGCCCGCGCTAAGCCATAAACGGCCTAGGCGGAGTGACCCAAACATGGACCAGCGCGCCGGGCAGAAGCACCCCCAATGATATAAACCCGGCTGCGTGACCTCGACCCTCGCTCTTGTGTACTAAATCTAAATCCCCCCGCTGACTCAGCATCGCGGCTTGAGGTGTTGGGCGTTTGGTCTTTGTTTTTCATATCGAGGTCCTTCCACCCTAATTGCGCGCTTTGTCGCGTGCAATAGCTCTTTTCTTTGCGGTATTCTCTTTTTTTCCCCTTCTCATATTCAAATTGTGCCGCATAGTCGGGAGAAAAGTGAAGACCCGCGATGGCTTCCCGGTAAGTCCTTTCAACCAATCACTACGCGCCTGTCACGTGAAGCTAACCCAGTTTAGACTCGACCGCCTCGTCACGTGAGTATTCGACCAAATGCGTGAAATCACGTGAAAACAACTGACCACTGACCAATGACAATACAGGCTACTTGAGACGGGCAGCACTCAATTGATTCGGAATACGGCTGCTCAGCAGCTTGCAGATGTACAAAAACAGCATCCAGATGAGTTGTTTAATCTACTCGGGCGCATCCTGCCTTACCTCAGATCCAAGTCCTGGGATACAAGGACGGCTTCTGCCAAAGCTATTGGATTGATTGTCTCCAACGCAGAGGTTTATGATCCAAACGAGGATGATGGACTGCAGATCAAGTCTGCAGCAGACGAAGATGATGTGGAGATTAAGTCCGAGGTCAAATCTGAAGAACCAATCCTGGCTGATGGTTTCCTCAAACTTGACACCTTGGACATCCCCTCCGTATTAAAATACGGTAAGCGGCTGCTTGGCAGTGCGGGCAAGGAGTATGAGTACTCCCTTGCGTCCATGGAACCAGCTTCACGCCTGCAGCACCAGAAGAAGACTTTGACCTCGCGGTTGGGTCTCGAAGGCGAATGCCTCGAAGAAGACCTGATCGAGGATATTGAATTAGCTCCTAAAGTGGTAACTCCTGCCCCAAAGCATGAGCCGACTATTCCGCCAATCTCTCACAAGAGTCTGCATGAAGCTCCCTCCCACCGACCCTCCTCGCCCAGCGAAAGTGCGACGAAGGAGGATGGGGGGCTGAGCAAGCGACAGCTCAATCAGCTCAAACGGAAAAACAAACAGAATGCCAAGATGGGGGCTAATAAGGTCCGTGTCGTGGATCTGTCTTCCCGTCGACAGTCCGATATTGTCACAACCCCGGTGGCCACAACTCCCCATCCTGTTAAAGCAGAGAACGGAGATGACCAGAACGGCGACACAAAACCTGATTATTTCTCATTTGATCGCACGGAAGAAGATGACGATTCTAAGCTTGTTACTGAATTCAAAGGAGCTGCCGCCCCAGAGCGGCCCCATATCCAGCCAGAGATTGTGGAGCAGGGTGCAGGATGGCCTCTTGAACACATGTGCGAATTCTTAACTATGGACATTTTTGATTCTAACTGGGAAGTTCGACATGGTGCCGCAATGGCCCTGCGTGAAGTGATCAGGGTCCAGGGCGTGGCAGCTGGCCGCTTGGATGGTAAAAATCGCTCAGAAAATGACGCACTCAACCGCCGGTGGCTGGATGACCTGTCATGCCGACTGCTCTGCGTTCTGATGCTTGACCGATTTGGTGATTACATTTCAGACAATGTGGTTGCGCCAATTCGCGAAACCGTGGGCCAGACTCTCGGTGCTCTTCTATCACACCTACACCCGAACTCAGTCCGAGCGGTCTACCGATGCCTATACCGGATCATAATGCAGACTGACCTAGGACTGGACCGCCCCGTATGGGAGGTCTGCCATGGTGGTATGATCGGGTTGCGGTACCTCGTCGCAGTCCGAAAGGACTTGCTTGTCAATGATTCCAACATGATGGATGGCGTCCTGGAAGCTGTCATGAAAGGCCTCGCTGATTATGATGATGATGTTCGGGCTGTTAGCGCCGCCACACTTGTTCCTATTGCAGAGGAGTTTGTGTCCTCCCGGACTGACACTCTTGGCCCTCTGATGAATATCGTCTGGGACTGTCTCTCCAATCTACAGGACGATCTTAGTGCTAGTACAGGCTCTGTGATGGACCTTTTGGCCAAGCTGTGCACATTCTCTCAAGTTCTGGATGCTATGAAGGCCAACGCTGCAGATGATCCGGAAGCGTCATTTGGAAAACTTGTCCCCCGTCTCTACCCATTCCTCCGCCATACGATCACCAGCGTTCGCTCGGCTGTCCTTCGGGCTCTCATGACATTCTTGAAGCTGGAGGGCGAGCGCACCACAGACTGGGTAGATGGCAAGGCATTGCGCTTGATTTTCCAAAATCTTCTCGTGGAGCGGAACGAGGGTGTTTTGAAACTGTCTGGCCAAGTGTGGTCTGAACTCCTTAACGCGGTTGAGCTGCGCGGCTCATTCAAATCCGACGAGGAATTATCTGACTCCATTCAGCCGCTTGTCACTCTCACTCTGGGCGCTTTCGGCGTTCCCCGGTACCCCATCCCGATGAACACCTCGCTCTTTATCAAACCGTCTGGTCTGCCATTCTCCGCCGCTCTCCCGGCTCCTACCCCTTCCAAAGGCTCTCCCCCTGCTTCTATTCCAGGCGGGGCTGAGATCAAGGCGGGACGGAGGCGCAAATCGGAGAAGAAAGAAAAAGAACAACCCCCGCCCTCAGCTCACAACGTGGACGGACACATGCTTTCCGGTGACATTGACCTCGTTGGTGCAGATACCATGCTGAGATCCAAGATATACGCCGCGAAGGCGTTGGGCGAGCTGATATCGTTCTGGGACAAGAATGAGTTACCAAGCCTTTGGCCGGCAATTCTGGATGGTCTTAATGTTTCTGCTTCCACAACGCAGCTTGCTTCGGCCATGGTCATGGAAGAGTATGCTCGCCAATCCGGACCAGAGAGCAAATATCGCTCGTCTTTGTGTGACCGTCTTCGACCAATTCTCGAAGGCGAGCGCCCATCCTGGTATGCGGACATTGCGTGCTACCTTCATGTCGCGCGCTCCCAGTGCCATTCATTGTTGAACACTTTCAGGGACCATGCGCATGTGGCACCTTCTCGGCTGCCAACCTTGGCTGTGGTCGTTCAGGGCGACTCAGAAGCCGGGCCTAATGCATTTTCCTTGGCGGACGCTGAGAAAATTGTTGGTCCTGACTTTGATCGACTGAAGAAAAACCTCACACCGGCCCAACGAATCACTGCTACGCAAGTCTTGAATGATACTCGTACCACTGCACAATCCGCCGTCGAGGAGGCACGGCTGATGAGGGAACAGCGGGACATGCGTGTTCTAGCTGCCACTGCTGGTGCCTTGGTCGCGTTGCGTGATATCCCCAAGAAGCCTGGTCACATCATCAAGGGTATGATGGACAGTGTCAAGAAAGAGGAGAATTTAGAACTCCAGCAGCGCTCTGCGACAGCAGTGGCAGGCCTCATCGAACACTACACAGCTGCCACGAAGCGTGGACCAGTGGACAAAATCATTGGAAACTTGGTAAAATACTGCTGTGTTGACACTTCTGAGACACCTGAGTTCCCGCACAATGTGCAATTGGAAAAATCAATCTTGTCGCTACGCAAAGAAGAAGACCGACGCGACCATCCCGATGCGGCCAAATTTGAAAGAGAGGCAAGAGAGGCACGGATTATGCGTCGTGGCGCTAAGGATGCGCTGGAGCAGCTGGCAGTCAAGTTCGGTGCTGAGCTTTTGGAAAAGGTTCCGAATCTCGCAAAATTGGTTGAACGGCCATTGCGAGATGCTTTGGCAGAAGATGAACTTCCCGAGAACATCATTAACCCAGAGAACGAACTTGGCCAAGAAATCGTGGATGGTCTGTCTACACTGCGGGCTCTGCTGCCCAAGTTCCATCCGGGCCTCCACGAATGGGTTATCGACCTTATGCCGATTATCGCCAAGGGTTTGCAGTGCCGACTTTCTGTCATTCGCTACGCAGCAGCCAAATGTTTCGCTACAATTTGTAGTGTCATCACCGTCAAGGGCATGACAATGCTGGTTGAAAAGGTCTTACCAATCATTAATAATGGTTTGGATGTCAATCACCGCCAAGGTGCGATTGAGTGCATCTATCATTTGATCCATGTTATGGAAGATGGAATTCTCCCCTATGTCATCTTCCTCGTGGTTCCTGTCCTTGGC